ACTTCGTCCTGGGCGACACGGCCAAAGACCTCGCCACGCTGCAGGCCAAGTCCAACAATTTGGTCTGGATTGATGGAAGTAACGTACATTTTGACAACTTCGCCTGGATTTCGGATATGATTTCGAGGAATAAAGGGTTACATAAAATTGAGCTCGAGAAGGGTTATGACCCCGAGAAGGATGGCAAGAGACATACAAACCTGCGGTACATCGACTGTAACTGGATGACGGGTAAAAATTTGCATAAAATTTGCAGTGTTTCAGGTGCAAGAAAGTGATTTCTACCAGGCGAATATTTTGCCCTGCAAGAAATGCACGGCGCATTAAAGCCGCTATAAATATTTTATACTCCGTGTCGCCATACATGTTCAAAAAATATTTATTCATTCAATGTTCATTCATTCAAAGCCTTGAAAAAAATATTCATTGCTTATTCACAATTTAACATTTATTCATTATTCAATATTTATTCATTATTCACCATTCCTTCATTATTCATTTTATTCAAAATTCACAGTATTAGATGAATTTCTATGTATTAAGAATTGATTTAAAAATGAATGATGAAATATTCATTTACACGAATTGAATAGATATTCATTCACTTAATATTCATTTATTCAAAAATCAAAATAAAATATTCATTCAATATTCATTCAAAATTTTGAATATTGAACGAATAATTTATTCATTCATCATTAAATGAATGAATGTGAACATGTATGCGTATCGCTAGATGGCGCTTATTTCTTGCGCTATCTAGCGACACGGCAGTTTGTTTCTTGCACCTCACAGTTTCTTGCCTTGCTTTGGGGCCGTACATAAAGCATGTGATCGATTTTCGGGGGAATTTTGACCCCAACCCCGCCCCAGTGGCACCTATGTATATGCCCCATGTTATAATAATTAACATGGGAGGGATAAGATGCCTTGACCCCTACCTCACTCAAATCGATGACATGATTTCTATACAGTACAAGAAAGGAAGGAAGCACTGAAGTAAATGCTTATTATTAAAGAAGAAAATTGACACCATGTTGGTAACGATTTCTTACAGATTGTCAGAACCTGACAGAATTTACGATTCAGAATTACGAGAATGAAAACCTCGCAAAACTTCCCCCCAGTTTGAATCAACTCACGTTATTTAGTCCAGTCACGTTGGAGAATGTCGTCTGGATTTCGGAGAATCAGCAAGAACTACGCGTCAGTTTTTTTAATTAATGTCGTCGCCAAAATCAGCATTTTAAATTATTTTTCAGCTCTAGGAATTTATTTCAAAATTCTGTCCGACAAATTTGTAATTACAGCAAGGTCGTTCCTAATTTTTTAAAAATATACACTCCAGACTTTGACACTTTTTGAAGGAGGAGATCCCAAGTTTAATAAGAAGCCTCCAGAAAAATTGGAACTGGGTAAAAAAAACTCGACGCTATTCCATCAAATAGCTCACTGACTACAAGTTTGTCGTCCAGAATTTTAAAATAAATTCCCAAAGGGGAGAAATAATTAAAAATGTGCTAATTTTAACGCTGAGTCGTACATAAGTTAACCTTGATATTTTTACAAATTTTGAATCTATGTCTTCCAGAATTGAAGAATTTTTGTGAGTGAAGAAGTCGCCGATGAAAGTTTGCTCCATCACATGGCGCTCATTGGGAAGCCGAGCAACGTCTACGAGCTGATCGGCCTGAGCGCGCCGATCGCTCAGAGCGACACACCCGCGACCAATGATAAGCCAATTTTGACGCCAGAACTACTCCGACGATTCATCCACCTACCGCACGTGGAGAACTTCCGGCTCTATTTCGTCCTCTCTTTGAACCCTGACGATTCGGATGACCAACCAAAAGATAACGATCACCTGCTTGAACAAGTGTACCGACTTACGACTCGGTTCCAAGATTTGAGCGAGGTTTGCAAGAAAACGCCAGGATTTAAGCAGGTATAATTTAAAATGGGGGGCAGTATAAGTTTCTACTGGATCATACCTGTTCAAAAATTTAGTTTTTATTCAAAAGTCTATCTTCCCGATTTCTGAGTGAAGGTTTTCATTCACATTCAGTCATTTTCTTTCAAATTCATTTCATTTCATTTCTTACTTCGCCCCATATATTAAGCATATTGTGAAAAATGAGATAAGTGAGAAATTTTTCATTCACACTCACTCATCTGGAATAACTGAATGTTTCACTCATTTTCATTCAAATCACAGGAAATTCATTTTCATTCATAATCAGTCACATGAATGAAATTGAACAGGTATGTCCTGATTTGTTACATTTCTTGCACTGCGAAGCAAAAATTGCGAGGTGCAAGAAACTGCGAAAAAGTGCAAGAAATATGCGCCATTTAGCCGAAGTATTTCTAGCGGCGAGGCGTCGTTTCTTGCGCCTCGCGTTTCTTGCAGGTCAAAATATTTACCTGTAAGAAACCACTTTCTTGCAAATGGTTACTCCCACCCGAAACACTGTTAAAGTGGTTAAAAATTAGACGATTTGATTAACTGATTTAAATATTTTTTAGGCTCGATTTGCCTTCAACATTAACTCCACGGAGGGATCATTCAGATATTCGATCACCATTTCGATCGACCGAAAAACCTTTAAGGGATTACCGCCATGAAATCGCTCCAGTTTTTGAGTAAATTCTTATCAAATTGTAAATACTTGTCAGATTGCAATATAATGTAAATATAACGGCAAATTAATTCGATCCAGATGCGATGAGAAATTAATAAAATATTATTATCTAAAAATTCGTGATAAATGGCGGCCTGTCATAATACATTATTTCGCAATTTCCCATATCCGATTTGCATGAAATTCGAGAGACCTTTGGTTGGCGACATGTCTTAATTGCTCCAGCAGAAGATTAAGGGTCAAGTTGGTCGCAAAGGGGAAAATGAAGGAACATGAATAATTTTTAGGATAAAACGCCACGTACTAACTTTTTGCCATTTCTCATCCGATTTTCATGCAATTTTGATACATGGTGTTGTCTAAATTTCGCAAGTTGTCAGAACGAACATGGCCATTAAGAGGAAAATGAAGAATATGAATCGATTTGGACCAAATTGGCGTTAATCGATCACAAATATATTTCATTAGTATGAAATTTGCAAATGGAACTACAGGGTGTTAATAAAGTCCGATCCCATTTTTCCTGTAAAAAAGTGAAGGCTAGTATAAAAAAAAACTACCCGTGATACTTACAAAAAATGTTCGACATATTTACCTTAGTATTTGGTCTTGTTACCATTTACTTTAACCATGCCCTCAACTCTTTGTTTAAGGCTCTGTGCTAATTTTTCCAATGTGCCTCTGGAAATCGAATTCCATACATCTTGAACTTTTTTTTACTAGCTCTTCCCTCGTCCGGGGTTGTGGCTCTTTGTATACATTTTCCTTAAGTATGGACCACTGGTTCTTCAGGGGATTCAAATCTGGGCCGTTAGCGGCCCACACCCCCTTGCTCCAGACCGTTGAAACTTGCGTCTTGATGAGACTCAAACTCGCTTTTGCTGTATGGGCTATAGCACCATCCTGCATGAAAACTATTTTTCTTTCATTCGGAAATATTTCCTTGTTCCCCATGCTATCGAAATAGATAGGTAATATTTTTTCCATATAATGCTTTGCATTGACTGATTGGCCTTTTGGTATGATATGTAGAGGGGTCACGCAACGTGCACAAAATCCACCCGCTACCATAACTTTAAGCCCGAATTTTGGGATCGCTCTTGATGGTACATCCGATTTGTTTTCTGTCCTGTAACGAACATTTTGTTGGTTCAATTTTGGATATAGTTCAATAATAGATTCGTCAGTCCAAAGGATGTGACTGCGCAATTCTTCACCAAGTCTTTTTTCACTCAAATGGGCACTTTTCTGAAGGAGTTCTTCAAATTTCAGACGGTCATCGATATATTTTTGTGACATGAGAGGTTTTTTTGGTTAGTTTGTAAGCTGTGTGACCCCACTTCGTAGTTTTCACAAATTTTTGCACGGTCACACAGTTAATTTGCTTCTTCTTCTCTTTATAGCGTTTTGAGTCATTTAACTCCCTTGCTCAATTACGTAATGAACTACCGGTTTTCTTGCAAAGTCTGTTTTTAATCATTCTTTTTGTGGTAGGTGACACCTTTCTGGGTCGCCCTGGTCGCTTTTTGTCGTGGACAAAATTTTTATTCTTCCATTTCCAAACAGTTCTGCGGCTGCAGCCCAATTTTTGCACAATTTCTGTAGGTTTAAGCCCCTGCTGATGCAATGTTTGTATCTCAACTCTAAGATGCTCATGACTTACACGTTTAGTTGTTCCTCCCATGGTAAAAATTTGAAATAAATAACTTCACTGGTTCAAAAGTTCCAGCTGAATTTGTAACAACCACGCTCCAAAAAATGCATGGGATCGGACTTTATTAACACCCTTTATCTCCGAATGCGCAGGTTTAGCGGAGGTATTTGCATAAAACGAGGAGAAAAAACACCCCCAAAGCTGGCAAAATTTTCATTTTCCAAACCTGCTGCGCATTTTTCCCGCTTTTAATGCAAAACCTGCGCATTGGCAGATAATCCCATTTGCAAATTTCATCCTAATTATATTTGTGATCGATGACGCTAGTTTGGTCCAAATCTGTGAGCGTGCTTCGTAATTTATGACCTCGTGAATTAATATCGTCTCGCATAGAAACTGAATAATAAATGATGACATGACAGAAAAAATTATGACGTTTCGAAATTATTTTAAATTTCTGAGAAAATTATTTTCGAAAGACGGCTAAATCTACGCGATCTAGACTCTGACTCGTTATTTCAGAAAACTTGTCTCAAGGAAAAGTCAGATACGTTCCCAGAACTTTTATTTGACCACGCAAAATATCAATATCACAAAGTCTGATTTTTCTGACAATCTCTCACACTTTTACAATTATCAAAAACGGTATCGAGTTATTTCTAGTCTATCATTTTTACATGTAACGCCATAGAAATGTCTGCCAATTATTTTGCAATTAAAATTATCTGTGTACATTTACGTCATAATTTAACACTCCCACCTTTTCATTTACACTGATTAAATGAAAATCGCGACACTATATGTATGTACACAATAATGATGATTTTGTTGATTCTGATGAAACCTCCATAGGGTACAGACGTTGAACAGGTCTCAACAATTCACCATACGACGTCTTCACTCTTGCAGTCCGTGAATATCCATCTCTTCCAGGGATGAGGTCCACCACTTTTGCCATGGGCCAATCTTGACGCTTGACGCCATCTGATCCTACCAAAACAACGTCTCCAATTTTCAAATCCGACGTCTTCTCGGACCCTGGTTGGACTAGAAGGGCCAAATATTCTTTCCTGAATCGAGATCGTAATTCTTCTCGTATTTTTCTTAAAAACTTCAACCGCTTGTTGAGTCCTTCCATGCTGACTTGTTCCATCTCTGGTGAAACACCATTCTTGTTTTCGAGTAAAAACATTGAAGGGGTTAATGCTTTGAGATCCTGTGGGTCTTCGGTCACCACTGTCAAAGGACGATTGTTTAGCACGTTCTCTACTTGTATGATGCAGGTCATCAGTTCTTCATGGTTAACTCGTGCTTGTCCCAACATCCTTTTCAACAGTCCTTTCATCAATCCAATTAACTTCTCCCACCAGCCTCCCCACCAAGCAGCTGTCGGAGGATTGAATTTCCATACAATTCGTTTTTCTCGACTTTTTTCTTCAATTTCATCCCAATTTATGGATGAAAACAGGTTGACGGCGCCCACGAAATTGCGCCCATTATCACTGGACACCACTGCTGGGGTTCCTCTTCGGTCAATAAAACGATGAAATGCCATGAGGAAAGCCTCGGTACTCAAAGATTTCACCAGCTCCAGATGCACGCAACGATATACAGCACAAGTGAAGAGTACGGTCCAAATCTTAGTCCCTCCTTTGAGAAATAGTGGTCCCGCCAAGTCCACCCCAACAACTTCAAACGCCACAGATGTCCGAACTCGGTCTTCTGGTAACGGGGCTTCAGGAGTTTTTACGTGTTGTGCACTAAATCTTCTGCACCTTACACAACCGGTAATCACTTGACGAACAGCTTTCCGCCCTCGAATGATCCAATATTTTTCGCGAAGCCGACCCATGACGTACTGAGTACCTCCATGACCGCTCTCCAAATGAATGTAGCGAATCAGTAGTCGAACTAATGGGTGTTTTTCAGGCAATAATATTGGTGTCTTGAAATTGACCATGTCTGTTCTCATGAGTAATTTAGTTTGAACTCTTGCTATTCCGTCATCAGTATCCCAAACGACACGTAGATTCGCGATTGTTTTCTCGCCACGCTTGAAACTTTCACTTTGTACAAGACTTAACAATTTCTTTTCTGAATGTTCTAATTCAGCTACAGTGAGTGGTCCATTTGAATTACTTCGTTTCCTCGTCTTCTCCACAAATCTCAAGATCCACGCCACGAGGTTGACAATTTTGTTGAATGACGAAAATTTCTTGCAATACCACGGGACATCTGCACACGAAGTCAACAGGTTTACGGTCACGCTCTTCAGCTTCTCGGACATGACCTCTTCTTCATTGGTGGTGAATTTTTCAATTGGCCAAGATTCCTCATCCAGTTTCAACCAGTGTGGACCCTCCCACCATCGCGAATCTCGTAACTGGGCAGGACTGCATCCACGAGAAGGCAGATCGGCTGGGTTGAGTGTCCCCGGGATGTGACGCCACTCTTCTTCCTTGCTCAGGGTCAAGATCTCGCGTACACGATTTCCCACAAACTTTCCCCAGATGTCATCTCTCCTTATCCATGCTAGTGCTGTAAGACTTTCTTCACCACCTTTGTCAATCTTGCTCCGATGGTGCACGCTAGGAGTTCCAACCTCGGAATGGATACTTGTTTAATGGGGGCAACTCTTGACCGTGCTTGAAGAAGATGAAGGTCGACTTCTCCATCATTATCCACTCTTAAAAATACAGCAGCAGCATACGACGACTTGCTGGCATCCACAAACGTATGTATTTGCATAGTTCCTCTTCCGTCTCCAAAAGCGTTTCTTTTTATCCATATTTCTTGAAATGAGGGCACCTCACTAATCCACACAGTAAATTTGGTAATTAGATTTTCATCTAAATTTTCATCCCAAGAAATTTTGTTCCTCCACGCTTCTTGCAGAATAATTTTTGGGACGATTAGCGCGGGACACAGATATCCTAATGGGTCAATAAATTTCTGTGCACACGACAAGACTTCTCTTTTTGTAAATTGTTGTTGTGCACATTCTTCCACTTGATATCCTAAAGTGTCATCTGCCTTGTTCCACTTCATCCCCAATACTGAAGTGATAGAGTTGTCCTGATGACTCCACTCCCACATACGTAAATCCATCTTGGCGTCCTCCATAATTTTTGTAGCAGCAGACTTGAAGTGCTCCAACTCACTCTCAGAAGAAACGGTACTGACACAGTTGTCCACGTACGGGGATTTCCACAATTGTTCAGCCACGTCTTTCTCCACTGTTTTTACGGACTTCAAGTGATGTTCGATCACAGCTCCCAGAAGGTACGGACTGCAGTTTACCCCGAAAACGACACGAAGATGACGAAAGATTTTCAGTTTCTTTTTACTCCAGTCCTCCCACCATAGAAAACGAAGGTAGTTTGTATCTTCCGGTGTCACTTTGATTTGAAGAAATGCTTTTCGGATGTCCGACGTCACTCCAATTTGTCCACGTCGAAACCGTAACAGCATGTCCGGAATCTGCTCCAACAAATTCGGACCTTTTTCTAAACTCTCGTTGAGCGATGGTGTACGTCTCGTCTTGCAACTCGCATCAAATACGGGACGAATTGGTGTTGTAATGCTTTCTGGTTTGATCACTGCACGGTGTGGCAAGTAGTGTGAGAAGACTTCGTCATCATCTTCAATTTCTTCAATAATGCCTTCTTTCCGCCACGACTCAAACACCTCGTCGTACTTGTCGTAGTATCCGGACTGAATAATCTTCTCAGTCGCAGAAACAAGTCTTCTTTCTGCAATATTTTTATTGCACGGTATATTTGGACGTCCATCCATCCACGGAAGAGATACACAGTAACGCCCGTCTTCACGACAAACTGACTGCAAAAAATGCTCCTTCACTTCCTTGTCTCGATCCTCCTTGTTGAGATGTTCAGCGGGGTCAGTAATTCCGATGACATCAAGATCCCACAGCTTCGACTCATCCATTGACGCCAAAAACAGTGAGGTAACCGTCATACCAATGTTATCTTTTGGTACCTTTCCTCCCAATGACCATCCAAATGTAGACTGGAACGCAGTGAGTCCGCTCTTCAACTGTACCACTCTTCCGGTCATCAATTTTCCATAGTAGTCGCTGCCTATCAGGATCTCAATTTCTGGACTGTCGGAAGTGAAATCAGTCAAATGTACGCCTTGATTTGCTAACTCTTTGATCCATGGTCCACTCGGAACGCGTGCGATGAGACCACAGATATCATCGCGATCCAACACCTCCAGTGATTCTCGATGATGACCATTTAAACTTTCTATCTGAATGCGGTATTTATTGTGTTTAATTGGTCCTGTCACCATTCCTCCAAATAAGCAGTTGTTGACCCATTCTTCCCCAATCTTGTTGACTCCTAAGCTCTTCATAGTGTCACGCCGCACAAAACTTTGTTGATTTCCACTGTCGTAAATCAGCCGGACAACTCGTTCCCTTCCAAATGACTCGAACAAGCTCTGTTTGTAGCAGTACATCATTACGACACAGTTGATTTGACATCGCAGCTTGTGGTGGTACTACTTCCGGTCTTGTCCTTGGGATGGATAGTCCAGGACACATCACTGTTGGGTGTTTTTCTTGACAGACTTGACATCTCATTGGATTTCGACACTTATTTGCATTATGTCCAACTTTCAGACAAGAAAAACAGCATTTCATTTCCTGCAACTTTTGTCTCTTGACATCGTAGGACAACGTCTTCGCTCGGAAACAGTCTTGTGTGGGATGGGGCTTTTTGCAAAATGCACATTCTGTCTTTTGTCCAGAAAAGAGTCCTGCAGAAGTTGCATAATTGTCACCACCACCATCTTCTCTTGATCGTATCTTCTTGTCCTTGGTCATGCCAAATCCGGAACGTGCCAACGAAATCCTCTCCTCATTGCGCACTTCCTGTCGTAGGAACTCCATGAGAGATGTGAGTGAAGTGGTTCCAGCATCAGCTCTGCTCGGAATTTCGCTTCTCTGCCATACACGTAGTAATTCTTCGGGTAGACTCGACTCCACAATTGGAAACAGCATGGCAGCACACTTGTCGGTGGTCACTCCAAGCGAATCCAAAGCTCGAAGATGTGACTCCAACTTGTCATACATCTTCATGATGTCGCATTTGTCCTTGCTGCAGACATTAGAGATCACCATCTTCAGTAGTTCCCGTACATACACCTCCACCAGTAGATGATCCCGTCCGAATCTTTCTTTCAACGCTTGCACCGCTTTGTGGTAATTGGCAGCAGTCATTGGATAACTGTCAATCAGCTCCTTAGCTCTGGATCCCACCATCATGCTCTGGGCGAGGTATTGAAACTTGTCCGAAGTCTCCAAATCCTCATCAAGGTGGATCTTCTCAAATTGTGACCACCAAGACAACCACTCGATGAGATCACCTCCAAATTTTTTCAGCTCCAACTTCGGCAGTCGATACGTCTTCTTATCCCTGGTGGATGTAGACTCCAGACTCCGAACATTGGCTGAAGAAGGGCTGGCTGACCGGTCTTTCTTCGATAGAAATCTACGTAATGCGTACCTCATAGTCACCAGCTTCTTATTGTATTCCTCACATGATAATGTCTCTTCATTTAATTCTTCTTCTGTCGCATTTGAATCCAATAATGCATCCATAGTCACATTGTCAAAATGCGTCATCTTTTCAGCATAACCTTCCAGACGGTTAAGTTGGACCTCAAGGACCTCTTCATCAGGGTCTTCCTTGGCCAACTCCTCCTTCATTTCATTCACTAACGTCGTGAATACGCGTCGCAATGGTCCTCTTGCTCTTCTGGGGCGATCCATGGCTCCTATACTTGACAAGTCTTCAACCGCACGGAAAAGATCACGTCGAGGTCACCAAATTTCGAAAGACGGCTAAATCTACGCGATCTAGACTCTGACTCGTTATTTCAGAAAACTTGTCTCAAGGAAAAGTCAGATACGTTCCCAGAACTTTTATTTGACCACGCAAAATATCAATATCACAAAGTCTGATTTTTCTGACAATCTCTCACACTTTTACAATTATCAAAAACGGTATCGAGTTATTTCTAGTCTATCATTTTTACATGTAACGCCATAGAAATGTCTGCCAATTATTTTGCAATTAAAATTATCTGTGTACATTTACGTCATAATTTAACAATTATATATGTAGAAAAAATCTTAGCTGTTTAGTTTTTAACGAAACTTATCACAAATTTTTGCACTAAAATGGCGAACGGAGCTGGCGCTGGGGGCGATGGTTCAGATGGACCCTGGAGGAATCTGCCCTTGGAGGTGACTCGGGCAAAAAATGCCGGAAAAAAAATTATTCTTCAGTTTTTCGGGGGCAAAAAAATAAGCGCAAGAAACTGGTTTCTTGCAGCTGTTTTGACCTGCAAGAAATACACGGCGACAGAAATAACGTCCCGGCGCGCGGTGGCTAGATGGCGCACATTTCTTGGCCCTCGCATTTCTCGGGTTTCTGGTTTCCCAGTGCAAGAAACGTAGTATTTGCGAGAAATTAGGGAAAAAAGTGCTAAATATTTTTACCAGACAGAAATGGATGGTGCAAAATCCCGCGGCTAGGAATAATTCATTTGGCACGTGCAAACCTGCTCAAAAATTCAATTTTTATTCAAAAGTCAGTCATCTCGATTTTGACGGGTCATTTTCATTCAAATTCATTTCATTTCACTTCACTTCATCTGACTTCATTTCTTACTTCGCCTCATATATTACAGGGTTCGGAAAAACCCAGGGTTTTAATCAAAAAGTAACGACCCAGGGGTTTTAATGGGTTTTTTGGGTTTTAATGGGTTTTATGGGTTTTATTGGGTTTTATTAGGTTTTACATAAGCAATACATTGAACAACAATTTTCACTACTATTGCAATCCAATTTCAGTTAATATGCAAATCCTCCTTGTCCATGTTAGAATTTGTATCCGTTTCGAAATGGTCCTATTTAACTGATCATAATCTAATACTTTATGTGACCATAATTAATTACATATATTACCTTTTTCTCGAATGCTTCCTCTCATCATAATGAAATCCAAGTTGTTTAAACTTTTTAAAATTTAATATTTCAATGCGATCTTAACGTGTATTATCAATTCTGGAAAAAATCGAGTACTTATGGAACAATGAAACTTATGGAACAACAAAAGTACGTATGTATTACATGAATCTGTATTACACCTGGTGTAATACAGATTCATGATGTATTATGATCAGGAATATAATAAGTGATTTTTACAGACACACTTCTTTTGCTCATAATAAAGTACTTCGTTGTCCATAAGTACTCGATTTTTTCAGAGGTGATAATTAAGATCGCCTTGAAACATTTTAAAAAACTTTATAAATTAAAAAAATACTATAGTATTTTGTTTAATTTATTCGCTGAGATGAGAGGAAGTATTCGGGAAAAAAGTATTAATTATGACAGCAAAATGTAAATTAAATGTAATTAAATTATATATGCTCAGTTAAACATACCTCGTTCCGAAATTATTTTTTATTTATTTTTTGTCACTTGAAACCTGTAATGGCACTCGCTGATTTATTCCTGGTTTTCAAAACTTACAGTATTAATAAAATAGACTGCTAGCTGCCATAAAACAACTTCGTCTAACGTATGACAGCTGTTTTCAGCTTTTAGAATATAGTTTTAAGCTGAAACACAGTTAAAACCCATTAAAACCCGAATAAAACCCATTAAAACCCAAATAAAACCCATTTAACATGGTAAAACTCAATGGGTTTTATTCGTTAACAACCCATTAAAACCCATTAAAACCCAAAAAACCCAACCCAATAAAACCCTGGGTCGGAATACCCTGTATATTAAGCATAGGGTGAAGAATGAAATCAGTGAGAAATCTTTCATTCACAGTCATTCATCTGAAATGACGGAATCATTCAGTCATTTTCATTCAAATGACAGGAGTTTCATTTTCATTCACCATCATATTCAATCAAATGAATGAAAGTGAACAGGTATGATTGCAGTAGCTGGTTACTTGCACCCGATTAATTGCTTAATTTATGTATCTATATATTTTTTAGGCTCGATTTGCCCACGTAGTTGACCCCACTCGGCGAGCTTTCAGCTATTTGATCACCATCTCGATTGATCGAAAAACCTTTAAGGGATTGCCACCATGAAATCGCTCAGCTTTTCAGGAAATGCTTATCAAATTGTAATAAATGTGATGTAACAGCCAATTAATTCGTACCAGATTTGATGAAAGATTAATAAAATTGAAGATTGAATATTGAAAATTTTGTGCACAATTTGTCAAACTGTTTTTTGTTCGCTTAAAAACGTGGTTCAAAAATCATGCAGTTTATGATTAAATGCCTTCATGTTTTAGTTTGATGAACCATAATTTTTTTCCAGAGTACAACTTTCGCAAGCCTGAATTTGCACACTATTTTAATTAAATATTTGCATACGTAATGGAGTGATACGATTGCGGAAAAGTGCACGAAAATCCACACCACTAATCTTGGTAGCACCCCAGCCAACTTCCCGAGACGGTGACCTTGGGGGGTCAAGAATCTAGCTGCTGTTACGGTCAGGGAAATTTATGCGAAGTCACTTCATCATTGGCATACCTGTTCACCTTCATTCATTTGACTGATTATGATAGTGAATGAAAATGAATTCCCTGTCATTTGAATGAAAATGAATGAAGGGTTCCGTCATTTCAGATTAATGACTGTGAATGAAAAGATTTTTCACTCCTTTAATTTTTCACCCTATGCTTAACACATGGGGCGCAGTCAGAAATCGGTGGGATGATTGCCTTTTTGAACGAAAAGTAAATTTTTGAACAGGTATGTGTAGGATATGGGAGAGAGTGGTTTATATAAGATGGGGACGTCGAACAACCGTGGGGCCATTGCCCCTCTGTCCCCACATACAACTCCGCGGCCAATGTCCCGAAGAGGAAAATGTAGAACATGAATAATTCGAGAAAAAGTAGATTTTCATAATTCTGTCATGTCCATTCAGCCAGTGTCATTATCTGACTAATTAAAGATCATTACTCATTTGTCAAAGAATTTTTCGAATCTTGATAACCTCGTGAATATCGTCTCGTTCGTTTGTATGTATAGAAACTGAATAATAAATGAAGACGAAATAAAACATGACAATTCTAGAGCATTTGAAATTTCTGAAAAAAACTACACTCCAAAAAATTGGGTCCTTCTCTTTTTGTCCAAAACTTGTTATAAATTTTTGGAAAAAAATGCCCAACGGTGGTGGTGGCGATGGTTCTGGAGACTCTCCGCCCTGGGAGAAACTTCCCACCGAGGTGAGTGAGTAGACTCGGGTAAAAACTGTTCTTAAAAAAATAGTGCTATTCAATGTTTCCGGTGAAAGTGACCCCTTGCAAGAAATAACTGAACGAAAGTGGTTTCTTGCAGCTATATATTTTGACCTGTAAGAAATTCAAGGTGCAAGAAACCACGCCCCGGCGCTATATTTGAATACTTCATGCGGCGTGTGGCTAGATGGCGCACATTTCTTGCAGTTTCTTGCTTTACAGTGCAAGAAATGGGTGTAGCAAACCCGAAAATAACGAGACACTGGTTTCTTGCAGCAATTTTGACCTGTGAGAAATTCAAGGGGTAAGAAACTACGCCCCGCTGCGCATACTTCAGACCGCGCTTGGCTAGATGGCGCTTGCACTTTCTCCCAGTTTCTTGCATTTATTGCAGTCTTACTTTGCAGTACAGGAAATGTAGCAAACCCGCAAGAAACTAAATACTGATCCATTCAATCATTTCAGCTGGTTGTAAAAATCCTGGGATATCTGCCACGTGCCGACCTCCTCTCGTCCCGCTTGGTTTCGAAGGCCTTTGTCCCACACGTGATTTGTGTCCGTGTCTGGATTTCCCATTTCTCGAAAAGTCTCGCGGTCGGACTCTGGTTGCTGGGAAAGAGTGTCCACGAGTTTGAGCAAGACCACACATTCAAGAATCTTGACGTAGTTCCGGACTGGATCCTGGAGAAAATCGCAGTATTGAGTGTCGGTGGGTGGTAAAAATTTCGATTTTGGTTTTTCATAAAAATCAACGTTTCCTGGCTTGCTGCCACATTTCTTGAAATGTAATTGAAACTTTAAACTCAAGAAATGTAATAGTATACTTATGAAAGTGCGAGAAATATGCATCTAACCACGCGTCCGATCAATTCATACCTGTTCAAAATGTGGTTTTCATTCAGAAGTTATCCAGTCATCCCGATTTCTGACCGAAGATTTTCATTCATATTCAGTCATTTTCGTTCAAATTCATGTAATTTCATTTCACTTCATTGGACTTCATTTCTCACTTCGCTGCAAGTATTAAACATAGGGTGAAAAATGAAATGAGTGAGAAATCCTTTCATTCACAGTCATTCATCTGAAATGACGGAATCATTTTCACTCAAATAGCACAAAATTAATTCATTCACCATCATAATCAATCGTATGAATGAAAGTGAACAGGTATGGGTCAATTACAGTTGTTTACCTGCACGGAACCACTTTCTTTTCTCCCGCTATTTCTAGCAAGCGGTACCCGAAACCATACCTGTTTACATTCATTCTTTTACTCATTATGATTGCGAATGATAGTGAATGAAAATGAAATTCCTGCCATTTGAATGAATGACTGTGAATGAAAGATTTCTCACTTATTGCATTTCTTACCCTATGCTTAATGCATGGGGCAAAGTAAGAAATGAAATAAAATGACTGAATGTGAATGAAAATCTTCCCTCAAAAATCTAACTTTTGAATGAAAACTAAATTTTTGAACAGGTATGCCAGAAACAGTGATAAAAAATTAAAATTTTGCAGACTGCGGTCATCCCGACTTCGTCAGGGATGAAACTTTCTACAAAAACCTCGCCACGCTGCAGGCCAAGGCGCACAATTTGCTCGGAATTTTCGGAACGTCCCTACATTTTGACAACTTCGCCTGGATTATAGATATGATTTCGAGGAATAAAGGGTTGTATAAAATTGAGCTCGAGCAGGAATATCTCACCGACGAGGAAGTGGAGGATGGCAAGATGCATAAAAACCTGCGATACGTAGACTGTAATTGGATGACGGGTAATTCGCAGGGTTTCGGGTGAAAGCATGCCTGTTCACTTTCATTCATTTGTGAGATTATGATGGTGAATGAAAATGAAATTCCTGTCATTGGAATGAAAATGACTGGAGGATTCCGTCATTTCAGATGAATGACTGTGAATGAAGGGATTTTTCTCTCATTTCATTTTCACCCTATGCTTAATACATGGGGTGAAGTAAGGAATGAAGTCGGATGAGGTTAAGTGAAGTGAAATGAATTTGAACGAAAATGAGTGAATGTGACTGAAAATTTTCAGTCAGAAATCGAGATTACTGAACTTTGAATGAAAAGTGAATTTTTGAACAGATACGTTACCTGCAAGAAACCAATTTCTCCCCCTTATTTCTTGCACAGTGGGTACTGATTATGATAGAGAATGATAGTGAATGAAAATGAATTTCCTGTCATTTGACTGAAAATAAGTGAAGGATTCCGTCATTACAGATGAATGACTGTGAATGAAAGGATTTTTCACTCATTTCATTTTCACCCTATGCTTCATACATGGGGCGAAGTAAGAAATGAAGTCGGATGAAGTGAAATGAAATGAATTTGAACGAAAATGAGTGAATGTGACTGAAAATTTTCAGTCAGAAATCGGGATACTGACTTTTGAATGAATACTAAGTTTTTGAACAGGTATGGGTGAAAGTAATGAATTTTTACAGGTTGTCAGAACTTGAGAGACGTCGCGATTCTGTTTTACGAGAACAAAAACCTAGCCAAACTTCCCCCCAGTTTGACTGACCTCACGCTCATGGAGAGTCCAGTCACGTTGGAGAATGTCGTTTGGATCTCGGAGAATCAGCGAGAACTTCGCGTCAGTTTTTTTAACTAAAAAAATCAATAACTCATCTCCAAAATCGTCAAAATCAGCACATTTTTAATTATTTCTCGCCTCTGGGAATTTAGTTTAAAATTCTGAACGACAAAGTTGTAGAGCAAGTCGTTCCCAATTTTTTAGAAATTTACACTCCAATTTTTGACAGTTTTTGAAGGAGGAGATCTCAAGTTTAAGAAGCCTTCAGAAAAATTGGAACTCGCCGAAACTGGCTCAAAAAACTCAGCGCCATTCCATCAATCAACTCACTGAGGACAAATTTCTCGTCCAGAATTTTAAAATAAATTCCCAGAGGCGGAGAAATGCTTAAAAATGTGCTGATTTTGATCATTGAGTCTTATGTTATTTTTGGAATTTCAAATTTTTTTAAAATCCCAATCTTTCAGAATTGTATAATTGCCGTGAGGGAAGAAGTCGCCGATGAGAGTTTGCTCCGTCACATGGCGCTCATTGGGAAGCCGGGGAACGCGTACGAGCTTGTCGGCCTGAGCGCACCGACCGCTGAGAGCGACCCACCCGCGACCAATGCACTTCCGACTCAAAAACCGACACCAAGGGTTGAGCGAAGTTTGCGACAAAACGCCAGGATTTCAAGAGGTAATTTATAATACGGGGTAGTATTTCGGTTCTTACTGGTTTGCAACATTTCTCGCAGTGTTTCGCTTGGCAAAAACCAGATTGGCCAGACCGCCGGTCAAAAGCGGCCAAAAGTGGCTTTTGACCACTTACAAAAATAGGTGGCAAATGGTCAAAAGTGGCCAAAAGTGGTTAAAATGCAAAAATGGGGCATTCTGCGACAAGGAATAATGATAAATTAATGATTTGACATTCAGGATTTCATCAGGATCTAGCAGAACAAGTTGAAGGCTACTTATCGCTGTTTGATTGGATCTAAAATTTTAAAATTGGTTATTAACTCTACAAATAAGCAATAAATTACATATTGCATCATTAATAATTGACACAGGAACAATTAATAATTGACACAGAAATAGTTACGAATTGACCAATGAGCCATTAAAATATTCAAGTATTGAGCAAATGTATGCATTACTTACTATATTTGTCCACATTGAATTTATTAGATTGGTAATTATTACAGACTATTTCAATTACTTTGTCAGAACTATAATTATTCTTTGTGCAAAGAATAAATAATACCGGCCAAGACTCTGTTTAAACCCGCCGCGCAAATTATTAGCCAATAGAATACTTTTGACCACTTTTGACCACTTTCTACCATTTTGGCCATTTTCGACCACTTTTGACCACTGGCCAACAAAAAACGATTTTAGCCGGCAAAAGCGAAACACTGATTTCTCGCACTTCAAAAATAAAAACAAGGATTTCGAAACACAGGATACTTAATATAAATAGTTAAGGAAATTGAGTTTTTGAAAATTTCAAAATATTTCAAAAGATATAGATTCAAAATTCTTTTAAATTTCAAAATTAGAACTCGATAACTCATTTCCCAAATAGTCAAGATCAGCATTTTTAATAATTTCTCCCCTCTGGGAACTTATTTCAAAATTCTGGACGACAAATTTGCAGTCAGTGAGTCGATTAATGAATGGCGTTGAGTTTTTTGAGCCAGTTTCGACAAGTTCCAATTTTTCTGAAGGCTTTTTAAGCTTGAGATCCCCTCCATCAAAAAAGTGTCAAAATCATTAATGTATATTTTTAAAAAATTGGGAACGACCTACTCTACAAATTCGTCGTCTAGAATTTTAAGAAATATAAATATTTTAAGAAATGTAAGGTGCAAGAAACTGCAAGAAAGAGCTAGAAATAAGCGCCGTATAAAGTGCATAGTACAGGGGTGGGACAGAAGAAGGAGCCACTTGAATTTTAGGGGTGGCGTGTGATGCACAGTCGCGGCATTTTCAAAATTTGCATGTCATACCCAGATAGTTAACGAAAATTTAGCACTATTCAGATTTTCCCTACGGTTAAAAATGCCCCTGCAGCACCCCCCAGAGTGCGAGGCACGCATAAAAGTGTTTTCCAAAGACATACTGAGCCAGAGAGCCATTGTTAGAAAATTTGCTGCAAATGGATTTATCGTCGATCGAAAGTACGTTTCTAATGTACTTAAAAACGTTGGAATCAAGCGGAGGGAAAAAGGGGTTAGAGCTCCACCCCCACGGAAAGGATACCCAAGATCCGCTTGAACCAAAAGGTTTATCCGGAAAATCAATTTTTCGCCAAAACGGTAAATCCACCAACTAAAAGTTGCATGGCGAAAATGTTAAACGTTAGTAGGAGAACATTTCTAGAGTCATTCACAATGACCTACAGCAAGTGACTCGTAGGAAATCCCGAGATCATGCTCTCATCCCAACTTATTTCTCACAAAATATCAGCCTACACGAAGGATTTTAAAAAAAGTTTGGGTATAACAATTATTCCTACTATAGAAACTCTCGTTAGTTCCTCTGATATCAATCCGATGTTTTTTTGGATTCGAGTACTTAAAACAGAGCCTTCTTGAAAGGAAAACGCGTGCGTTTTGATGCACTTTGGAAAAGTGTTCAGGACGAGTGGTGCAGAATCACTCTGAAAATTGTGTCAAATGTCATGACTGGTTGGAAAAAGCGACTGAGGCTCGTTAGATAAACTAAAGGGCTTCACACTGAACCAATTAACAAACTTCACAAACGAATAATAAGGCCGGAATAAATTTAGGCAAAGTGGCTCCTTCTTCTGTCCCACCCCTCTGTATAAAGGGCGTAGTTTCTTGCACCTTGAATTTCTTGCAAGTCAAAATAGCTGCAAGAAACCACTTTCTTGCAGTAACTGGTTACTTACACCTGAAAAATGAATGGAGGTAAATTGTCGATTTGATTAATTTATGTATGTGTACATATATTTTTTAGGCTCGATTTGACCACGTAGTTAACTCCACTCGGCGAGCTTTCAGCTATGCGATCACCATCTCGATTGATCGAAAAACTTTTAAGGGATTGCCACCATGAAATCGCTCCAGTTTTTGAGGAAATGCTTACCAAATTGTAATAAATGTGATGTAAGTAACAGTCAATTAATTCGTACCAGACTTGATGAAAGATTAATAAAATTGAAGATTGAATACTGGTGCAAAAATCATGTGGTTTATGATTTTTTGTAGTGTATGACTTTCATTTTGGTTTGAGGAATCATAATTTTTTCCAGAGTACAACTTTCGCAGTCCTGAATTTGTACACTATTAGGAGCTCTCAAGACTCAAAAAATGAGCGAAATGAGCAAAGAGCAGAAAAATAAAAAATCAGATTTTTCTGCTCAAACCTTGAACGGACCACTTTTTTTATCGATCATAATTCTTGAGAATTGTGATCTTTATTTGTGGGAAGTTCAATTATTTATTTATCATTTTCATGGTTTTAAATTCAGTTTCATAATTCATAAAATTCCGAAAATAGCTGAACGCCATGAGAATGAGAAATATGAGAATTTGTATCATTATGTGATCTTAACACGGCTGGGTTTCAACAACAGGCATTGTGAAAAAATTGCAGGAGAATTAAAACGAACAGCATTATCTCAAATAATTCATTTTATGCAGCAGCAATAAACAATTTTATAAGTCATATATTTAGGATTTAGATTTAAGAGTTTCCAATTGAATTTTGAGTTCCAGTATTTTTATTTCGGCTTCGCATTGAAAATTGAAAATAATTTGATTTGATGTAATTGGAGGAAAACGACCGAACTTTTGTCCAGAGTTTCGTCTTTCTCAGGGTCAATCCCAAAACCCGTTAACTTCTCTTTAGTCTCTGTGTACGTTTTAAGAAATCATTTTTTAATTGACTTTCTTCGCAGTTAAGGGCCAAAGCATCTTGGAGACGACGAAGAAATTCCGTGCGTTTGGTCATCTGCTCAAATATTTTTTGCGATAAGGATATGGTCATACAAAATTACATGTTGATAACAAACCATCATTTACCTTAAACGCGGTGTAATTGTCGACGACATAATGTGCCATTTCAATTTTTATCTGTGGTGTCCAGCGAAAAGTTTTTCTGCCGTCTACCTCTGCAACGCTACGTTTTATACGACAAATTACAGGATTTGCAACTTTTTCGACACTGGTACTCTTAACCTTGGTCTTAGGACCCATAATGATAAAGAATATGTTTTAGAAAACTGCTTAATTGTTAAATGAAAAATTTAAGTAAACAAACAGCTGATGTGCTGATGTGGAGCAGAATGACCAGGATTATGAGAGAGAAAATCAACCCAAAACTCGATTTTTTTCTTGAGCAAGAAAATCTGATTTTGAGCGAAATCGCATGCGCACAGCCGAGCAGAAAAGATCAGAATGAGCGATGAGCAGAAAAATCTGATCTTTTTTAGAGCTTTGAGAGGACCTATTTTCATTATATACTTGCATACATATTTACATTATGGAGTGATACGATTGCGGAAAAGTGCACGAAAATCCACACTTTGGTCGCCGAATAAAAGAAATCAACAAAATTTGCACATGTCTTGACCTTGGCTCGGAATGACCTCATTTTGAAATTGAGATTATTGGCCATATCATAATTTCCTCATTTCTCATCCAATTTTCAGGAAATTTCGATACATATTCATCCTTTGTGGTGTCGATATGTATGTCTTAATTTAGCCGGTTGTCAGAATGAACACGTGGGTCTCGAAGCTGTGTGGGGACATCAGGGGAAATTAACATTGTAGGATAGGGGAGGGAGGCAGGGGTTTATATGACTAGCGTTTAAGTTTAGACTAGCGTTTAAGCCCGTCTCCCGCCGGGCGAAAGTTTATTTGATTATCATGGAATTTGAGTGGGATTCTTCATAATTCCACATAAGTAATTTTTTATGGTATTTACATATGTAATTAGCTGGAAATGTCTGTTTCGAGCCATTCGAAACTTAACTTTCTCCACTTTCACTGTTTCGGAAAATTACTTTCACTTCCGTTGCAGACAAACATTTCCAGCTTAAAATATAGAAGGGCAGATGATGGGGACATCGAACAACCGTGGGGACATTGTCCCTCTCTCTGTTTTCACGCTTCCGCCGCCACTGTCTCAAAGGGGAAAATGAAGATCATATGAATAAATAATTTCAGAGAAAGCAGATTGTTGTATGAATGACACCTGTCGAAGTGTCGAATCATCTGACCGATTGAGGATCATTTTACATACATAGTCGGAAACACTCAAGTGTCAATGACATATAGCTTTATTACTTTTGTAAATCTCAACCTAGCAATTTGTGATTTATTTTACCGAAAAGCCAGATAAATTTCAATTCAAAGACAATTTTTAGTCTAAAAAATTTCCTCCTCCTGCGTCAATGCCACGCTGAAGACGAGACGACCACTCCTCGATGGAATTACGCACCGATTCCAGGGACATTTAGTTGCATTCTGGGGTCAGAAATTTTTTCCAAGCCTCCGCACTTCTACGGGGTTTAGAACACACCTTTGCCCCTAACTTTGACCATTTTTCATATTCCGGTGGCTCAAATCCATCAAGGATGATGACCAATTCTGATTGGAGATAATGACAGGAATTTGTTTTTTTAGCTACGCTTGGGTCATTTTTTGCACTATAAATTCGTGCTGAGTCCTGCTGAGAGGTCCCATCGATTCCATTGAATTGGACCTCGTATGTATGTATTGGTGGGGTGACGATCCTGCCATTGTTGGACAGGACCGTCAGCTGCGCAAGCACTAAAGGCTTATTGCAGTCTCCCCGTATACACCGCTTTACTGTGCTAAGTCATGACTCTCACGATTTACAGATCTAACTTGACCTACAAACCGCCCTGATCTGATTATGAATTGAATTAGATCGGGCATAGACATAGTCACTATTTGCTCTGGTGGCAACTCATGCCTCCCAAAGAGTTCTGACCTTAGGGCACAATACTTGTCGCAGGACCCAAGAAAATGAAATACAGTCTCAGGGCCACGGCCACATAGGCACATGGCCTCATCAACTAATCCCATTGTTCTGAGGTGCCCGTTTAAAGTACAGTGCCCGGTTAAGGTTTGTGTTACTGATCGGAGATTCTTCCGATTTAGGGTTAAAAGCTTACTGCTAAGCCCCGATGAAGGGGCAGAGAGAAAAGCTTTAGAAGTTAAACAACCCTTGCTGCTTTCCCAAGATTTGGTATGCTGCAATCTTGCCCAGTTTACAATGCTGGAGATTACAGTGCTTCTGGATAGAGGAATAGAGGGCTGCGGGCCAAGGTACCCAGTAAGAGTACCTTCCTTGGCCAACAGGTCAGCCACTTCATTTCCTTCAAATCCATGGTGAGAAGGGATCCAATGAAGTGTTACCTTCTTAGTCTCCCCAATATGATTAAGCATCTCAATAGCCTCAGCAGTCAGTGATGAAACTGGCCATGGGCTAGTGAGCGCTTTGATGGCACCCTGACTGTCAATGAAGAAGTCAACGGTGCTATAGTTATGAGTATCGTCGGTCAACGTTTCAGAAGCCCTGATAATACCCATAATTTCTGCTTGGAAAACTGTGGGTGCCCATCCCAGAGGAATTGAGCACCTCACAGCTTCCTGAGCAAGATTGTTGTATGTGAAGTAGTAAGCCGCACCCGAACACTCACCCATCCGTGAACCGTCAGTAAAACAGTTCACGTCGGAGGCATTCATGGGCACGCTACCGTCCTCCCAATCTTTCACCGAGCAGATAGAGGTTTCGAAGTTCCTCTCTGCTGGCGGATTAACAAGTTTCTCACACGGCATCTGGAATTCATCAATACCAGACGCCATGATTTCGACAAACTTGTTATGCTTTAACGCGCTCGTACGATCACCCCCGGCCCATTTTTTCCATTGGCCGTGGTGAGCGAGGCGATGGTACGTTCGTAGTGCAACTTGCTGAACCCGGATGTCCACTGGGACAAGTCCCAGTAGACACTCCAGGGTAGCAGTAGGAGTGCTAGACATTACACCGGTTGTACCAAGCATGGCACACCTCTGTACTCTTTGCAACTGGGCCATGTGGGACTTCACCTTTGTGGCCGGAGCCCACAAGAGTGACCCATATTCCATGTCCGGGCGAATTATGGATTTGTAGATCCAATTTGTAATTTTGGGGGAAAGACCCCAAGTTTTACCAATGGCCCTCCTGCACTGGGCCAGGGCACGCATACCTTTTAGTGCCCTAGCCCTGCACAGTGGGCCCCAGTTCAACTTGTGATCCAATAAGACCCCAAGATATCTTACCTGTTTTTGATAAGGGATGGGAATACCATCCAACTTGATCACAGGAGCAATGAATTTGTATTTCTTAGTGAATAGTACCAGGGCAAGCTTATCATTGACTGACAAGCTCACCTCTTTGCACCAATCACTAACAAGATTTACTGCTCTCTGCACATGACTCCCCACTGTACCCAGGTCAATGCCCCGTCCCACTGTTGTGAGATCGTCGGCAAAGCCCTGTGAGTACAGTTGAGGGAACCGATGATGCAGTTTTTCCAGAATTTCACTTACGACCAGATCCCAGAGAAGCGGTGAGAGGACACCCCCTTGAGGGCACCCTCTCTCCACCACCCTCCCAATCTCGTAAGTAGAATCAGTTACCCAAGTGGTTCGTGTCCGAAGCATATGCTCAATATATCGAACACATACTTCGTTGACGCCAAACCTCCTAAGGCTATGGATAATGGTACCAGATCTAACCTCATTAAAAGCGCCCTTAACATCCAACATCACTGCAATACAGTACTCGCCAGAGTCAAGGGCCCCCTCAACAAGGCTAACGATCTGATGAAGGGCAGCCTCCGTGGAGACGCCCTTCATATAGGCATACTGACCGTGTCTCTGCAGCCTATCAACAAGATCAGGCGTGCGGACCCAGCCATCTACCAGTTTCTCAAGTGTTTTGAGCAGGAAGGATGTTAAGCAGATGGGCCTCCAAGCGGACGCCCGTTCGTAACTCTCCTTTCCTGGCTTTGGTAAGAATACCACTCTGGACTCTCTCCACTTCAGAGGTGTATAACCAAAGGTCAGGCACCCCCTCATGAGAGGAACCAAATACGGAATTAACTCGGCTAACCCATGCTGTAAAAGGGCTGGAAAGATACCATCCTTTCCAGCCGCTTTTAGTGGGCCAAACGAGTTAATTATGTTACTGATTTTTGAAGATGTAATCATCAGATTTATAGATTCATCATCTACTTTACTATGATCAGGTTCCCATGGAACCCGTTGAGGGTCCCTCGGGAACGACTGGTCCAGTAATAATTCATAGGTCTCAGAAAGGGTCCTGGTGTAAGCACCATCACCCTTGTCCAGTGATCCCAGTTTGATTGTGCCATCGTTGCGAAGGATGCGCGAGAGTCGGGCAGCAACAGGTGCCTCCTCGACACTCACAAAACCTTCTCCACGAGGCAGTTTTCCTCCTCCTCATTTCGTAGGAGTAGTAGTTACGAGCAGCTTTGTATTCCGCCCATGCCTCCTCTCCTCCGAAGCGGGCAACCCGATAAAGCCTGCGAGCCTCCTTCCGAAGAGAAGTCAGCTCACGGCTCCACCAAGGTACCCTCTTCCTCCTGGATTTGAGTACTTTTTCAGGGCAGGCCACATCGTATGATTTATGGATAAAGTTACTGACCCTACTAGCGCTTGCCTCAATCTCCTCCGTAGATGACATTGGGCATGCCCTAGCAGGGTCAAGTTCCGTTAGTCCTTTTAATACTGATTTGTATAGGTCCCACCTTGTTCTCTTCCTGTCCCTATAGATGATAGGGTCAGGTGGACCAAGGCTTAGGCTGGTCCGAATATACCTGTGGTCAGAGCAACTTTCGTTGTCGTCGACCCACCAGGCCTTTATCCGGTCCAGCAAATGGGAGGATACAAATGTAACATCTAACACTTCTTTCTTATTCGATACAACAAAGGTGGCTCTGTGTCCCCTATTAATGGGGTGCAGATCCACCTGTGCAATGTAATCCAATAGTTGTGCACCTCTGCTGTTGATATTGGTGCTACCCCACATGGTGTGGTGTGCGTTGGTATCACTCCCTATCACCAGAGGTAGACCGTTGGTTTCACAGTATGAGACCAACTGACGCATCTCCTCTGGGGGGCATGCATAGTTTCTATCCATGTATGCTGAGGATATCACTACCTCTCCAATACCCCCCCACTGGGTACGGATGGCTGTGACATCTCTACAGCATAAGTCAAGCAAGGGCCACACTTTGATGTCCCTACTTGTAATAATACATGATCTGCTGGAGTGGGCATCCCGACAAAAATAATGTAGGTTGCCACAACCCCCCAGACCTCGTATTTTGCCTTTATACCAGTACGGTTCTTGTATTAGGCATATGTATGTCTGCAACTCTGCTAGGGTACGACATAGAGAAGTCGTACCCTTTTTTGAGTGTTGCAAGTTAATTTGCACCAAGTTCACACTTTTGGTTGTCATATTAAAAGATGACAACCCGGTTCGAAGAGATGTAGATGAGTGTGATGGTGTAATATTAGTGATGTTAGTGTTAGTCATTGTGAGTGAGGGTTATGACGCGAAGTTAATTTTGAGGGGGTGTTTCAGTTACCCGAAACACCAACTCATCAAAATAATAATTAAATTCGGCGGGCGGTTTTAAGGCCGCCACGCCAGATTTAGGAATACGACAAAAACAGACAAAACCTTTACCTGACCTTATAGAATGGGTCATCCTCCATGTGGTCGTGTCCATGCCCTGGTTGAGTCGAGAGATGGTGCGGAAGAGTACCTTGGCCAAAGGTGGTGTCGCCTCCCTGACCCAAAAACTCACTTTTGCTTCCGCTTCCGGTGGTTTGGGGTCACTGGTGGCGAATTTCCCCCCTTCAAGCTTGTCCACCTCCGCTTCAGCCCAAAGTTTGGTGGTGGGGTCACGGCATGTGAGAACCATGCCCCCACCCCGGATCACAAGTCCACCAAACTTGAGCAGGGTTGTCGCTGCTGCCGCATCGATGGCAGAGCGAAGTCCTACCTGGATGGCCTCTTGGTCTTTTTTAGAAAGAGGGCGGTGAGGGTCATCTTTATAAGTGATGACCACTTCACTACCCTCAATCACGACCTCCCGGAAGGTAGAGGGCCTCTTCTTCTCCCTCGGATTGTTGGAGGTTGGGGTCTCCCTGCCTCTCTTGTTGGTGGTAGTGGAGGAAGAAGACCCAGCGTCTTTTTTGAGTGTGGGGTCAATGTCGTGAAGATTGACCCTCTTCACTCTGTCCCCCCCCCTCCGAGTGGGGTAAAGGGGAAAACCCTGCTTCCAGTCGCAGCGGCGCTGGTGGCAGTTGTTGTAGTAGTGGTTGGAGCCGTGATGTTGGTGGTGGTTGTGGCGGTGGCAGTGACGTCATCGTTGGATTTGGGGGCAGAAGGCACACCCCCAGCCCGCAGCTCCTTCGCGCGCCGCCTCCTCGCCCTCCTCTTCACCGTACGGTTGTTGGCACTGGTGGCGATTTGGGGTGGTGGCAATGGTCCTTCTCCATCGCCCCCCATCTCCATCGCCTCCCCCTGGCCTCCACTCACTGCATCCCCAGAGGGGAGATGCGCCTCATCAGAGAGGAGTGACTCCTCAACCTCGGAGCGGAGAAGTACATCTCCCTCTTCGCCCTCAGGTTTGAGGATCTCCTCCTCCATCTCCTTCTCTCCTGCTGATTTCCTGGAGAGAGAGGTGAGTAAAATAATGTAGAACAGCCATAAGCCCACAAAATTTGGGCTTATGGCTGTCCATATAATTAAAATTATATAATTAATATAAATATATGGGTTGCAAAAGGGAGGAGGTCGGAGGTGAGGACTTTCTCCACACATTTCGTGTGGAGAAAGTTCTCTCTCGCTCCCACTCTCCCTCCCCCACAACCCAATACTTTCCTGGGAGCAGGCACTTCCTCCCATGTCAGGGTGGGTGTAGCACACTTCACTCACCTTGACATGGTGTCCAAAATTGGTGAATTTTATTTTTTGTAAAATAACAAAAAACTGGGCAGAATTTCCAGATGCTGCTCCTTTGAGCTTCGCGGTGTATCCCCGCGTGTATGAATTGGACCTCACTTAGGGGATGTACCACGGACTCAAAAACATATTTTAAGAAATTTGATTCCCCCACCTCCCCCCAATTTTCAGCAAAATGTAGAGAAATTGGCCCAATTAGCTCCCACCTGCCAAAATCATCAAAAAACCTGGACAATGTGACTTTCTGACCTTTTGTCTATATTGGGGGATGTCTCTGACCGATTTTGCGTAGATTAGGACAACTCGCTTGTTAAAAGATTTTTCCAATGTGAAAATCTCCTCATTTGTAAAAAGAATCCTGCTCACGTTTTTGGAGCGTACCACTTGAGGTGACTCTTGCATTCATTTAATCTGGTTTTCCTTTGGGGTACGATCAGGATGTGGCAAGTACCACATTTCAAAGCCTTAAGCCTAAGCTTCAATTTGAGTACTCATTGGATAATTTGTATCGACACTGTCAGCAGTGAGCCCGGTTTCCGTTGGAATTTCGTGAATTTCTTTGGATTCCAGGCTTGAGAGGCTAAACGATGGGTGTGGTCCTTGGAGGCTTTCAAAAAATTCTTCTTCGACTGTTCTTAATCAGTCTGGTCCTCATGAACGTTTTTATAGTCCATTGGGCTAAATTAAAGTACACCTTTGACTTTTTCAGCACATGTCAAATCCACTGTTTTTCTTCGATTTTTTTTTTGTGAAAAACTATCGCCGCCCGCTTCTCTTCAATTTCCTATATATCGATCCAGATGTTCAAAAATTACAAAGTCTATAGTGAATCATAATGTAAATCGCATGGCGAATCTAATGCACTTATCAGATTTTAATTTTGCAGCGTAGTTTTTTAGCAATCAGCTGTTGACACTTGAGTGTTCCTGACTATGTACTCTAGAATATTTCGCATTTTGATAACCTCATGAATCACGATTGCTTGACTTTTAGTGCCTAGTTACCCTTAAGGGAGACTAACGTTACCTAGATACTTAAAGTCAAGCAATCGTGCTCATGAATATCTTCTCGTACGGTGTACGTACACTCTCAAAAAAAAGGTACAAAATTTATACAAGGTTGTATAAAATTTTGTCCAACTTTAATCAAAAAAGAGGATGACACAACCCTTGCTTAAATTTTACTCAACTTTGTTGATCAAAAGTTTTACACAACAATTGGGTAAAAAAAACTCAACAAGTTGTGCAAATTTTAGTCAACCCAAAACCAACAATTCCACAACACAACACTAAAAAATGAGAACTTGAATGATTAAAATTTACTCTTGCGTGTATTTAACTTTATGCTATTGTTTATCAAAGTTTGCATTTAATGTTGATTAAAATATACTCTTGAAATCACTAAAACGCACTTTTATTCATTAATATTTATCCGTCGTTAAAATTTACACATTTAATACTTACAACTTACTAATAATTACTTATTTAGAATAACTATAAATATATAAAACCTTTTATAAATACTGAAAATGAATATTGCTTATTTCGCGTAAGTACTGTAAAATTAAGTTTCGTAAACACACATAAATATGTTAAATTAATTAATCCTAAACCAGTATATTTTATTTTTCTCCATTTTCCAAATTAATTTGGGATCCAAGAAACAAAACTGACGATGATGGCGACTTAATTTCCTTGATTCGAAAGACTGTATGGTCAAAAAAGCACCATACACTAGAGCATTCCTCTGGAAATTGTAGCTGCAGAACGTGGAATATTTTGAAACAAATGTCCACTGCTTTCACGAGGGATTCTGCAAAAATTAGGTGCCTTTCGACCATGACGTAAGCTTGTTGAATTTCCAGATTCTTCAAGTTTCCAACACATAAAACAAACGGCTGCTTTCTCACCGATTCTGACAATCTAAATTCTTCCAAATCGTCATTTGACTGCAGATTAAAATAATAATAAATTAATTAGAATAAACGAATTTCAAATAAAACTAATAGTAAAATGAGGTGAAATCACCTTCACAAATTTAATGAAAAATTCTGAAGATTGCCCGCCTGTAATTTTTCGCCGTTTCTTGTTAACTTTAGAGTACGCAGATTTTGACAATAAATACGGAAGAAGAATTAGGGACCCAACATTTATTTGCTCTGTGAATAAAATAGTAGGTGGAATTAACACAATCAAAATATTTTATATAATGCAAGTATATAATCACTATTTACCTGCAGACCAATCATTAATATTGTAGATAATTCCAATTTCCCTACAAGCGTCTGTTTTTGCATTTTTTGCAAACTTCCAAATTTGCTGCGAAATTGAGTCCCACATGTGAAGCATAATTTCACCTGCGCCAGGATGTCGTACAGCAAAATCTTGATTAATCTGTTGGACAACAACTTTTTTTTACTCAAGTAAAAGATATTGTAAATTATAAATATTACCATCCCCGGAGTATCAATCAACCGAGGCCACTGGCTTAGTGTTGCTGACAAATCGTCTGTTTTCATTAACTCGTCTGACCTCAATCGAAAAGTTTGCGCCATATAATCTGCAACTTGATCATAGGGACTCGATGAGTAAGAAAGCCAGGACTTTTTTTCCTCTTCATCCGCAGACGGACCTAAAATTATATTAGAATTAAATAAGCATTTTGATTTTGTACTAAAGAATAATTTCTAAAACTTCATACTTTCCGGCATGGTGTTGTCCACAACCTTGGAGTTACTTCTCCTCCCACACATGTTCTTTCTTCTTAAATATTTTAATCGATCTTCAATTAGGCCGGACGCAGGAGTACGTCTGTGCAGATTAGATTTGTCAGTGATGACTCTTGACTCGCGATAAAATAGATTCTACAAGAAACAAAATAGTTATTTACAGTTAGAGAATTCATTAATTTTTAAATCAATAATTAAGATATTATTTAATTAATTAATTAATAATACCACAATGTCCCTCTGTTGGTCAGTTCGTAGATATTGAAATAGTTGAGCTGCTACACACTCTGCCAAGTTTTGTTTTACAGTTTTGGGTGGACTGTTGAAAATATTAAAATATTGAAACACTTATGCGAGTATTTACAAATTATTAATACGGTAATTATTCTACTAAATTTACTTACAAATAGGTGTATTGCTTCACTAGATAGTTAACAATTCGGCGCTTAATTAGACTTTTTACTTCAAAGGTGATGGCATTTGATTCCAAACATTCGTTTAGTATTGTCTCTCCTTTTTTTGTTCTTTTTTCGCGATCAGAATTCAGGATAATTTGTTTAATATCCTGTTAAAAAATACAAATTAATTGTATACCTTAAAAAAATTATACTTTAATTATGTACTTACAAATAATGGATCGAAAGGTACAAACGAAATTTCAACACCCGACCCACCATCGTCTGGATGACTGTCTCGATTGTCAGAACAAATATTGCTGGAATTATTTTCGAGCTGAAAGAAAACATTTTTAATTGAGCAATTTGATTAATTAAATTGTATAAATCTATGTCAAAATGCTAGACTATTACCAGAACAATGTTCAGCATTTGTCCAAGCGCTTGCTGGTCAGTTTCAGAAATCTGTTTACTTAACTATATATATTCGTATAAAAATCTAGAAATTAGTTGAATAATAACAAAAACTAGCGTATCTCCTAGCTCAGTTCAAATTAACTCAATGGGACAGCAAATCAGACCGTGACCCTGAGGATCTTCTATAGTAATTAAAATCACCAATGGATACTCCAAATCTATGGCGTCGAGGTCAACTAGTAATGGATTTTCAAAATCTATTATTTTGAATACGTGTGAAAAACTAAAATACTCCTCACATTTTACCGGCCTGACAACTAAATAAACTTTGCAATTATGAACTAGACACATGCTAATTTCACAAAATTGTGAACTCAGTGAGGGCTGTTTCAAGATAAAATAATTGCTGGGTTTGACTTTGGTGCCATTAGCGATTACTGAGTCGAGACAAAGTACTTCATCCAACTCATTTTTAGAAAGTTTGGAAAAATCAAAGGACAACTTCATATCTTTGAATGCAATTCTAGGCCCAGATTTATAAGTTACATCCCCTTGTATTTCGCAACCAATCGAAAATGCCAAATTAAGCGCCATTCTTTTTGAAACTGTTTTTGCAATATTGCAAAAATTGTAACAATTCTTTCCAATTGTTTTTGCTAGGCGATGTTTGCCCTCAAACCGCATACACCAATATGGCTTGAGTGGCCCTAGCTGCTCTATTGCGTGAGCATAATGTAATAAATGGTGAAACTTTGGCGTTAAATTATTTTTTGTCAAATTGATGAATGCCTGGTGATGCTCGGATATTAAATACGACAACATATGAACACCTGACCTGCTTATTTGAGGCGCCATTAGAATACGTAATATTCTACGCAGTTTTAAAATAAGGTCCCAGTGCTTATCATGCATGTTAAACTTATCACCAAAGATTGCGGGAAAAATAAGAAAAAAATGGCTCATCTCAGATGCAGAAAAGCAGGATTTTTTGTCGCCATCAACAAAAGAGTTATCTATTTCTGGCAACTTTGATACTTTATGACTATTCTTTTTGAAAGAAGACGAAAGTCTGTGATTAATTTCGCCAAGTGATAAAATGCGATTTTGTAAAACATGCTTAAGAAACAATTTTAGTTCAATAACACAAATCCCTTCTAAAATATCATGCATAATATCGGGTGCATAGTTATGTGTCACATGAAATCCTTTAATATCATTCAAAATTGATCTTTCTCTGATTCCAGTCAAACTGACATTCGCCACTTCTAAGTCCCTCTCATAATCTGCTAAAAGTCTCCTTTTGTTAACCGACTCCTCTATGGCTGAGAAAGTTTGTTCTTTTTCGAGTTTACAAAATCGACATCTAAAATTTGCATTAAAACTCTCAGTGAAGCCGAAAAGAGTGTGCATTCCCAGATTGTCGCCACAGAACTGAAGAACTTGAACATGACTAAATGGACTGTTTTCCAGAAAGCTTGATTTCTGCGAATTTACAAGTAATGAATTTAATTCACAAACCAATGGGTATAAAATTAAATTCATTCCGTATTCTTTTACAAACTTGGATTTAACAACTATAAGTGGATAAATATTTTCTAGTCGGCAATTTAAATGTGCAGGAAAATTGGCAATAACAAAATAAAACATTGCAAGTTTGTGAATCTTAGCCTTTGTTCCTATAGGGTTACAAATTTCAACATCATCGTAGTAAATCTGCAAACAGAGAGGGTTATTTGCGAAACTCTTAAAAAGTGAACCTGACTTGAAATTCTCAAAGAAATCTGATTCTGAATTTCTGTGTTTACTATCTGCCACTGAATAATATTTCGCAAGAATTATAGGCAGAGTTTTAGACAATTGAAAATGGTAAAGGTTGTCAATTTTTTCTTGCATCATACCTTTATTTTTGTTAAATTTAAAGTGAGACCCTAATTTTATCTCGCTCGCTTCTATTAAGAAAGATTTTTCTTTTAAAAGTTTTTCCAATTTATATTGGGAAGAAGAATTTTCTGGAAAGGGGTCCCTTAAAGTATTAAAATGTGCTAAAAGTTCATCTGGATTTGTGTAAGTTGTCGAAATTGTTTTCGCCATTTCAATAACACTATTGACTAACGTATTGGCAGCAGATAAAATTTCACTAGATTTTGACAAGGAAATTCCACCCGACATTTGTAATGATTTTATAAAAGATAATTTATAGTCTAGGTTAATTTCATGAATGACCTCAGGGGGAAATAATTCCTGGTAAACATTTTCCTCCTTCATATGTCTATCATTATGTGAGGTTAATGGAAATCGACTTGAAACTTTTTGAATAACTGGGCACACTTCTCTTTGGACATGCTTTTGAAGATTTTCAGAGTCAGTGAAAATCATTTTACATAAGGGACAATTTAATCTAACTTTGCCTTTTGTAATTTCGTGATACTCTCTAATGTGTGTCCAATACACTTTAAAAGAATGAAAATTATTTCCACAAATACTACAGTTGAAATTTATCTTGGTGGCCTGGTCTAACTCTAATCTTGACCTACTTACCTCTCGACCAGCCTCTATTAATTTATATCTGTGACCAACAGACGGAACTATTTCTGCCAGCAAACGGTCTTCCACTGAACCAGCAGCACTATCCAGCAATTTCAAGAAAATTGGGTCGTCGACATCGTTTTCTATAAAAAAAATAATTATAAATTAAAATTTCCTTCACCTATTGTTATTTAAATTAATTAAGCTAATAAAGATGAACACAATACTTACCTCGGAACTTATCCTTATACTGAAGTAGACCGGTAATTTGTAGAGCTTTTTCTAAATTTTCAGTCATTTTGTTGGAAAATTTCAAAGAAAAGAGTGGATTTTCTGATAATCCTTTTCCAACCTGAAATAATCAAGTGTGGCGGCACACACGGTGGTGATGAGACGCCAACTTGGGAGAGTAAATTTTACACAACTGTTGTGTAAATAGCAAACCTAGGGTTGGATAAATTTTACACAGCATATAAAAAGGTAAAATTTGTACAAGTCTTGGGTAAAAATTAATCAACTTTTTGGCATTTATTGCCTAACATTGGTGATATTGAGATTTAGTAAACAAAAAACGAAACTTTGTTCAAGCTTGCGTGAAACTGGATTTATACAACGCCATTGAGTAAATTTTACGCCATAGAAGTAAAAAATTTGTGCAAGATTGGGCAAAATCTTATCAACTTTTTTTGCTCAACTGGTTGTGCACAATTTTTTCGAGAGTGTATAGAAACTGAATAATAAATGAAGACGGAATAAATTCTGATGATGAGAGCATATCGTAACTTGCTGAAAAAAATACACATCCAAAAAAATTGTGTCGAAACTTTTTACAAATTTTTGAAAAAAATGCCGAAACGAGGTGGCAAACCTTCTGGAGGTGGTGGTGGATCTGGAGGCTGCCCGCCCTGGAAGAAGCTTCCGACAGAGGTGGGTGGGCGAGCGAGTTGATTGGGGCTAAAAACTGGCCCAGAAAAAAATAATAATTAGCCTGCATTCAATGTTTCCGGTGCAAGTAATGTAACGTAACGACATGCAAGAAATAACTGGGAGAAAGTGGTTTCTTGCAGGGAAATATTTTGACCTGGGAGAAATGCAAGAAAATATGCGTGGCTAGATGGCGCTAATTTCTTGCACTTTCTCACAATTTCTTGCATTTCTTACTTTGCAGTGCAAAATAGGTATTTAACAAACACGCAAGAAACTAATCACTGTATTCATTTTTATTTTTCAGATAGTGGTCAAAATCCTGGAATATTTACGATGTGCCGACTTACTGTCGACCCGCTTGGTTTCGAAGGACTTTGTCCCACTCCGAATTCGGGCTTCTCTCTGGATCCTCGAGCACTTGAAGAATCTCTCGGTCGGAGTATTCTTTCCGAACAAGGCCCTCCCCGAATTTGCGAAAGACCACGAACTCCCTTATCATAGACGTCTTGACGTAGTTCCGGACTCGATTTTGGAGAATATTGGATGGCTAGGTGTCGGTGGGTGTGGCAAAATTTTTATATATACCTGTTCACTTTCATTCATTTATGAGATTATGATAGTGAATGAAATTGAAACTACTGTCATTCGAATGAAAATGATTGAAGGATTCCGTCATTTGATATGAATAACTATGAATGAAAGGATTTTTCACTCATTTCATTTTTCACCCTATGCTTAATACATGGGGAAAGTAAGAAATGAATTCGGATGAAGTAAAATGAACTGAAACGAATTTCAACGAAAATGACCGAATGTGAACGAAAATCTTCAGTCAGAAATCGGGAAGACTGACTTTTGAATGAATACTAAGTTTTTGAACTGGTGTGGGTGCAAGAAATAAGCGCGACCTTGCCAAGCGCTTTCTAGCGACGGGGGCGCCGTTTCTTGCGTCTTGCATTTCTTGCAGGCCAAAATACCTGCAAAAAAAACCCATTTTCTTGTCGCCATTTTTTTGCAAGTCCTCGAAACACTGATTTAATTTGTTTAAATTATATTTTGCAGACTTCGCTGACCCCGACTTCGTCATGGGCGACACGCTCAAAGACCTCGCCACGCTGCAAGCCAAGTCCCGCAATTTGCTCGCACTGGACACTCTGAACGCGGAATTTGACAACTTTGCCTGGCTGTCTGACATCATTTCAAAGAATAAAGGGTTAAATACCATTTGTCTGGACGTGGTTGATCTCACCGACGAGGACGAGGAGGCCAGAAGAACGCACAAAAACCTGCGCTACGTCGACTGCTCCTGGATGAAGGGTATACATAAAAAAATAAAATAAAATACGCACGTGATTAGGAACCACGTGCAAAAAAATGGTTTCTAGCACTTAAATATTTTGACCAACAAGAAATCCAAGCTGCAAGAAACTACGTCCCGCCGTTATACTTCGCGTGGCTAGATGACGTGCATTTCTTGCAATTTCTTGCAGTTTCTTGCACCTTGCACTCCTTTCTTTGGGGTGCAAGAAATGTAGAGAATCCACAAGAAAGGAGACACTGCTTACCAGAAATAACTGCACAAAGTGGTTTCTTGCAGCTAAATATGTTGACCTGCAAGAAATACAAGGCGCAAGAAACCACTTCTTGCCGCTATAAATACTTCATACGACGCGTGGCTCGATGGCACAGATTTTCCGCACTTTCTCCCAGTTTCTTGCACCTCGCATTTTTTGCGTAGCTTTCTTTACAGTGCAAGAAATGAATGTAGCAAACCCCATAAGAGACGAAACACTGATCAACATAAAATCTTCTTAACGATTTGTTACAGATTGTTAGAACCTGAAAGACCTGGCGATTCTTGATTACCACTACAAAAACATAGCCAAGCTGCCCCCGACTTTGACCGAACTCACGGTTCTGAATCCAGTCACTTTGGAGAATATGGTTTGGATCTCGGAGAATCAACAGGAACTTCGCGTCAGTAAAAAATAATAATAATTTAGGAATGACTCCGATAACTAACCATCAAAATCTGCACATTTTTAATCATTTCTCCCCTCTGGAAACTTATTTTAATATTCAGGACTTCAAATTTGTAAAGCAAGTAGTCGTTCCCAATTTTTTAAAGAAATGTACACTCCAGATTTTGACACTTTTTGTTGAAGGAGATCTCAAGGTTAAGAAACCTTCAGAAAAATTGGAACTCGTCGAAACTGGCTCAAAAAACTCAACGCCATTCCATTAATCAACTCACTGACTACAAATCTGTCGTCCAGAATTTTAAAATAAGTTCCCAGAGGCGAGAAATGATTAAAAATATGCTGATTTTGGCGATACAGATAATTCCCTATAAATTTCCACTCTCAAGATGCAGAGTCGTACCATAATTTCGAAATTAACAAATTTTTTAATCTCTATATTTCCTCCAGAATTTTGTGATTTCCGTGCAAGAAAAAGTCGGCGAGGAAAGTTTGCTCCGCGACATGGCGCGAAGTGCGAAGCCGTGCAATGCATACGAACTGCTTGGACTGAACGACCCCAACGCGCAAGGCGACCCTCCCGCGACCAATACGAAGAAGCCCATTTTGACGCCAGCGTTGCTCCGACGCTTCATTCACCTTCCGCACGTGGAGAACTTCATGTTCCTTTTCGTCCTCTCTTTGAATCCTGAAAATTCATATGGTCTTCCAAAAGACAAGGATCACATGGCCGATCAGGTCATCGAACTGAGGAACCGGTTCAAAGAGTTGGCTGCGGTTTGCAACAAAACGCCGGGATTTAAGCAGGTAAATTATTTAGTAATTCAGAAGAGGGGGGAGGACAGTGTTTCGTGGCTAAATTTCTTGCACTGCAATGCAAGAAACTGGGAGAAAGTGCGAGAAAAATGCGCCACCGAGCCACGCGCCGTAAGTTTAGCGGCTAAGTGTAGTGTCTTGCGCCGTGCATTATTTCTTGCCGGTTAAAATATGCAGATGCAAGAAACCATTTTCTTGCATTTCTTGCATTCAGTGTTTCATTTCTTACGATTTTGTCACATTTCTTGCACTAAAAAGCAAATATTTACCTGCAAAACACCACTTTCCCCTCGTTATTTCTTGCACGTGGTCACTTTCTTACACTTGAAACACTGAGTTAAATCTGATTAATTTATGTACATATTTTTTAGGCCCGATTTTCTTACCACATTTTATCCGATGCGGGATTCTTCAGCTACAGGATCATCATCTCAATCGATCGATCAACCTTTAAGGGATTACCACCATGAAATCGCTCTAAAAGTCAGATTGCAATATAATATAAATATAAATAACAGCAAATTAGACAATTGGTAACAGATTTGATGACAAATTAATAAAATACGGCGAAGATTGAAGATTTTGTGTACAATTTTGTAAACTAATTTTCAAAAATCATGCACTTTATAAATACTTCGTTCATAATGTAATTTGAGAAATCATAATTTTTTCCAGACTACAACTTTCGTAAACTTTCAAATCCTTACTAATTTGCAGACTATTTTGATCTTGTATTTGCATTCGTTTTATGGAGTGCTATACACGATTGCGGAAAAATGCATGAAAATCTTGGTACCGTAAGTACTCTATTTATAGCCGGGTCTTGCCCTCAAGTTTTCAAAATTTAATAAGCTTCTCTCTAATTATGTATGTCATGCGATTAATTCTTACATACTTCAAGGCATGCATAACCGAGAAAAATTTATCCGGGTCTCCAATTATACCCGGGTAGTAATTGTAGCCGAATCTGTGTTGGGATTAGACCCGGATATAAATTTATTTACGATAAATAGCATCCCCACCAACTTCCAGACCTCGCGCAGTGGCCGCGGAAGCCGTGGGGACACCTGGGGACATTAGCATTGTAGGATAGGGGAGATGGGGTTTTTTATAACATGACCAGATGATGCGGAAATCAAACATTGTGGGGACATTGCCCCTCTGTCCCCATACCCACAATTCAGCGGCCACTGTTCGTATGTATAGAAACTGAATAATGAATGATGACGATGGCGAGAGTATTTTAAATTTCTGAAAAAAAATTACACAAAAATCTTGAACCTTCTGTTTTTGACAAAATATTCGACAAATTTTTGCGCGACGAAAATGTCGAGCGGTGGAGGGGATGAACCCTGGAAGAATTTTCCCACAGAGGTGAGTTAGTTGACTCGGGCGATAAAAATTGACCCAGAAAAAAATTCGAGGTGGAAGAAACGAGTTGCAAGAAATAAGGGGGAGAAAGTGGTTTTTTGCAGGTGTGTATTTCGACCTGGAAGAAATGCACGGTGCAAGAAATGGCTAAACTTTATACGACACGTGGCTAGATGGCGCACATTTCTAGCACTTCCTCCCAGTTTTTTGCACCTCGCATTTCTTGCAATGCAGTGCAAGAAATAGTCACAAGAAAGTTGTTTCTTGTAGCTACTTATTTTGACCTGCATGAAATTCAAAGCGTGATAAAACTCCATCGCGCCGCTATAAATACTTCATACCGCGCGTGTCTAGATGGCGTTTATTTCTTGCACTTTCTCCCAGTTTTTTGCACCTAATTTCTTGCACCTTGCACTTTCTTGCTATTTCTTGCACCTCGGATTTCTTGCGTTGCTTGTTTTCTAGTGCAAGAAATGTAACAAACCCGCAAGAAATCTACTCATTTTTTGATTTTTTCAGGTGGTCTTAAAAATCATGCAATACTTGTCACGTGCCGACCTCCTCTTGTCCCGCTTGGTTTCCAAGAACTTTGTCCCACGCCAGATTCGTGCCGCTCTCTGGATTTTCGACCACTCGAAGTATCTCATGGTCGGACTAAACCTGCAAACAAAACGGACCGACTACGAAAACGGGGGCGAGTTTGCCGCTGGGAAAATTCAGGGCAGTGAATTGGACAAGAAAATTGTGCCCGGATTTGTTCAAAGTCACAAATTCGGTTTTGACACGGGTCTGGAGTTTGACACAGTTCCGGAATGCCTGCTGGAGAAAGTGCGGTTTTTGAGTATCGGTTAGTGGGAATTAAAAAAATTGATTTTTTTCGTAAATTATCATTAAAAAATCAGTGCTTCGTTTCTTGCGGGTTTGCCACATTTCTTGCAGTGTTAAGTAAGAAATGCAAGGAATGCGAGGTGCAAGAAACTGGGAGAAATATGCGCCATCTAGCGACTCGTAGTATTTATATCGGCGGGAAGTTTTTCTTCCGGCGTGCTTTTCTTGCAGGTCAAAATGGCTGCAAGAAACCACTTTGTTTGTACATTTCTTGCACTGGAAAGCGCGAAACGCTAGGAATGCGAGGTGCAAGAAATTGCAATAAAGCGCAAAAAAATAAGCGCCATCTTGCCAATTTTACAGCCATTACTGACCCAAACCACGTCGCGGGCGAGACTTTGGGAGACCTCGACCATTTTCAAGGCAACTCGGGCAATTTGATCTCATTTTGTGGACTCAATGCCGACTTTGACGAGTTTTACTGGATGGATTTGATCATTTGGAGGAATCCTGGGCTCAATAGGATTTGTCTCGTGAAGAATGTGACCGACGAGGGTGACGACACTAAGGGCAAAATGGACTCGGTAGATTGCAACTGGATTACGGGTAATAAATGGGAATGGGGACGCAAACCATGTTCAAGCCAGATTATTTTTGACCATGTTAGTCTAAAAAAGCAACTCACATTTATACGGCAATTGCTAAAATGCTAAATATTTAGCAAGTTTTGGGCGCCGTAAGTTCGCGGAAACTCGCAAATGCTGTTGCAAAACCCAGATTCTGCTTGAAAATCAAGCATTTTCGCCAGCTAAACTTGCTAAATTATTAGAATCTGCGCAAATGTCGCGCACTAAATATTGTTTCTAAAATTTGGACGCCACAAGTTCGCGAAGACGTTATGCTTTCCAGAGGAATCTGGGTTTGCTGGAGAATTTGCAGCATTTCTGCGAACTTGTGGCGCCCAAAACTTCCTGAATTTTTCGAATCTGTGCAAATTCCTCGCTAAAAGTTGTTTCTAAAGAGTTGCTCTTTCAAACTAACATAGCCAAAAAATATTCTGGGTTGAACATGGTTTGCATCCACATTTTAAGTATTTGTTAAAGAAAATTGTCACGAACTTGGTAACGATTTTTTTTATAGATTTTCAAAACCTCAGAGACCTAACCATTATGAATTACGGGATCGAAAACCTAGCCAAACTTCCCCTCAATTTGAACCATCTGGTCCTCCTGAGTCTAGTCTCGTTGGAAAACGTCGTTTGGATGTCGGAGAACGAGCAAGAACTTCGCGTCAGTCTTTCTAAATTAATTAATTAACTTAGGACTCTATATAACTCATCGTCAAAATCTGCACATTTTTAATCATTTCTCGCCTCTGGGAATTTATTTTAAAATTCTGAACGATAAATTTGTAGAGCAGGTCGTTCCCCATTTTTTTATAGAAAATATACACTCCAGATTTTGACCCTTTTTGGCGGAGGAGATCTCAAGATTAAGAAACCTTCAGAAAAATTTGAACTCGTCGAAACTGGCGCAAAAAACTCAACGCCATTCTATTAATCAACTCACTGACTGTAAATTTGGGGTCCATAATTTTAAAATAAGTTCCCAGAGCGGAGAAATGATTAAAAAATGCGCTGATTTTCACGATTTTGGCGATGATCCTACTTTAATATTTTTCATTTAGATTGTAACAAAATGTCCACTAAGGAGATGAAGAGTCTCACGTTAATTTTGAAATTTTAAAAATTCTGAATTATCAATTTCCTCCAGAATTTTGGAATTGCTGTCCATGAAGAAGTCGCCGATGAGAGTCTGCTTCTCCAAATGTCGCAAATTGGGAAGCCGAGGAATGCGTACGAGCTCGTCGGGCTGAACGATCCCCCGAATGCTGAAGGCGACCCTTCCACGAGCAAGGACGCCATTTTGACGCCAGAATTGGTCCGTCGCTTCATCCACCTTCCGCACGTGGAGAACCTTTTGTTCGATTTCGTCCTCATTTTGAGCCCTGACCATCCCGACGACCAAGAAAAGAATGAGGAATTCCTGACCGAGCAGATACACCGATTGAAAGACCGGTTCCATCACTTGAACACGGTTTGCAACAAGACGCCCGGAATTATGGAGGTAAGAAATAAGGAATTTAAAATGGGGCAGTGTTTCTTGGCTACATTTCTTGCACTAGAAAGCGAGAACCGCAAGAAATACGGGGTGCAAGAAACTGCAAGAAATGTGAGGTGCAAGAAACTGGGAGAAAGTGCAAGAAATATGCGCCATCCGGCCACGCGCAGTATGAATTATTTACAGCGACGGGGCGTCGTTTCTCGCGCCTTGCATTTCTCCCAGGTCAAAATATTCACCTGCTAGAAACCACTTTCTCCCCGTTATTTCTTGCAATTGGTTACTTGCATTCGAAATACTGATAAATTTGGCGATTTGATTAATGTATGTATATATTTTTTAGGCCCGATTTGCCGACATAATTAACCCCGAGGAAGGATTGTTCAGCTATTCTATCACCATTTCGATCGATCGACAAACTTTTAGTGGATTAGTGCAATGAAATCGCTCCTGGTTTTGAGTAAATGCTTATCAAAAATTGTAATGTATGTGATGTGAAGATATGTGATGTAACAATCAATCAATTCGTACCAGATTTGAGGAGAAATTAATAAAATGTATTATCTACGAGTAAAATATCTTATCTAAAAATTCTTGATAAGTTGAAACCTCGCAATAAATACATACGAAACTCTGTGCAATGAGATTTTTTAGGAATAAATGAATGTCATAATTTCGTAATTTCTTATACAATTTGCACAGTGGCCGCGGAAGGGTGGCGACAGAGGGACAATGTCCCCACCCCCCCCACGGTTGTTCGATGTCCGCATCATCTCCCCATCTTATATAAACCCCTCCTTCCCCCATGCAACAATGGCAATGTCCCCACATGTCCCCACAGCTTCCGCGGCTGCTGGATTTGCATGAAATTTCATGGTGTTGTCGACGTGTCTTAATTTCAGAATGAACATGAAGCGACATCCACCCAGCCAGTATCGAGGATCATTTATTATTGTCAAAGAATGTTTCGTATTTTGATAACCTCGTGAATAATATCGTCTCGTTCGTATAGTACATATAGAAACTGAATAATAAATGAAGGCGAAATAAATTACGACGACTCGAGAGTGTTCAAAATTTCTGAGAAAAAAATTTACACAAAAAAATTTCGACTCGTCCTTTCTTCTTTTCGACGAAATTTAATACAACTTTTTTCGCGACAATGTCGAACGGTGGGGGGGGATGACGGTTCTGGATCAGAAGGAGAAAAGCCATGGAAGAATATTCCCTCCGAGGTGAAAAAGTTGAGGCGGGGGAGGAAAATTGCCCCAGAAAAAAAACTTTCCAATACAAGAAACCACTTACTTGCACGAAATAAGGGGGAGAAAGTGGTTTCTTGCAGGGAAATATTTTGACCTGCAAGAAATACAAGTACAAGGTGCAAGAAATGACGCCTCGCCGCGCATATTTCATGCGGCGAATGATTACATGACGCTTATTTTGTGCACTTTCTCCCAGTTTTGTGCACCTCGCATTTCGTGCGTTGCTTGTTTTGCAGTGCAAGAAAGGTAACAATGAATATTTTGACATGTAAAGAAATGCACGGCGCAAGAAACTGCGCCCCGCCGCTGTAAATACTTCATACGGCGCGTGTCTATGTGGCGCTGATTTCTTGCACTTTCTCCCAATTTCTTGCACCTCGCATTTCTCCCGTTTCTTGTGCAAAAAATGTACCAAACTCGCAAAAACTAACGCATTCTTTCATTTCAGTTGGTTATCAAAATCTTGAAACATTTGCCACGTGCTGACCTCCTCTCGTCCCGCTTGGTTTCGAAGGACTTCGCCCCATGCCAGGTTTTTGCCTCTGTTGAAGTTATCAATCACAACAAAATTCTCACGGTTGGACTCAAGTTTTCGGGTAAGATTGACCAGGAATTTAAAATCGTACACAAGTTCGGTTATAAAAAACGTCTCGACGTAGTTCCGGAGTCGAGTCCTAAATATATTTATTGAAGAACATTGTCACCAACTGGAAACGCTTTGTTACAGGTTGTGACACCCTGCAAGATTTGACCATTATGAATTATGGAACAAGAAATCCTGCCAAACTTCCCCCCAGTTTGACTCGTGTCACGTTAGAGAGTCCAATCTCTTTGGAGAGCTTGGTTTGGATGTCGGTGAACCTGCGAGAACTAAGGGTGAGTTTTCTTTAACTAATTAAATATGACTAATTGTCAAAATCAGCACATTTTTAATCATTTTTCGCTCTGGGAATTTATATTAAAATTCTGAACGATTAATTTGTCGTCAGTGAGTCGATTGATGGAATGGCGTTGAGTTTTTTGAGCCAGTTTCGACGAGTTCCAATGTTTCTGAAGGCTTCTTAACCTTGAGGTCTCATCCTTCAAAAAGGGTCAAAATCTGGAGTGTATATTTTTAAAAAATTGGGAACGACTTGCTGTACAAATTTGTCGTTCGGAATTTTAAAATAAATTCCTCGAGCTAAGAAATGCTTAAAAATGTGTTGATTTCAAAGAGAAATATTTACATATTTCTAAATGTACCGATTTTAACTTCATTCATCACCAAAATGATAAGAATCATCACATTTTTAATCATTTCTCGCCTCTGGGAATTTATTTTAAAATTCTGAACGACAAATTTGTAGAGCTGCAGTCGTTCTCAATTTTTTAAAAATATCCACCCCAGCTTTTGACACTTTTTGACGGAGAAGATCTCGCGTTTAAGAAACCTTCAGAAAAATTTGTACTCGTCGAAACTGGTTCAAAAAACTCAACGCCATTCCATCAATCAACTCACTGACGGCAAATTAGGCGTCGAGAATTTTAAAATAAATTCCCAACGCCGAAAAATGATTAAAAACGTGTTGATCTTTAACACGATTTTGACGAATTAACTTTTAAATAATTTTTACAATTTCTGAATCCAGAGTTTCCAAGTTCATCTCCATGAAACAGTCGTCGATGAGGCTTTGCTCCTCCACATGGCGCAGATTGGGCGGCCATGGAACGCCTACCAGCTCGTCGGGCGCGCGGGTCAGGCGGATAACAACGCGCCCATTTTGATGCCACCGTTGATCGCACGCTTCATTTGCCTGCCCCACGTGGAGGACCTTTTGTTTGATTTGATCCTTCCTGATCATGGCGATGATCTGGTAACGAGTGCTCAACTCCTTGCCATGCAAATCGACCGACTGACGGATCGCTTCCAATTTTTAAAAGAGGTTTGCGATAACTCGCCAGGAATTTGAAAAGGTATATGAAATTATTATATAATTTTAAATGTAGAGCAAAGTTTCCTTTCTTGTGGAACATTTGTTGGCATACCTGTTCAAAAAAATGTTTTTCATTCAAAAGTCAGTCATCCCGATTCATGACGGAAGATTTTCAGTCATATTTCATTTCACTTCATTTCTTACTTCGCCCATATTGTGAAAATTTTTTGATTCACAGTCATTCATCTGAAATGACGGAATCCTTCAGTCATTTTCATTCAAATGGCAGGAAATTCATTTTCACTCACTACCATTCGAAATTATAATCAGTAAAACGAATAAAAGTGAACAGGTATGTTTGTTGGACTGCAAAGGAATAAATGCAAGAAATGCGAGCTGCAAGAAATGCGAGGTGCAAGAAAGTGGGAGAAAGCGTAAGAAATATGCGCCACGTGCGGGATGAATTATTTATGGCGTAGTTTCGCATTTCTTTCAGGTCAAAATAGCTTCAATTTCTTGCAGTTATTTCTTGCAAGTGGTCGCGTACTGTCGAATTCTTATAGCCGGTCACCTCATTTGAATATTTTGACGCATTCTCGAAAGACAAAGTATATTGAACATGAAAAACCCGTATCGCCGAACATGGATAGTGAGATTTATGCAAATAGGGTGACACGCCTAAATACGAGGATAGTATGCATACCTGTCACCTGTTCACTTTCATTCATGTGACTGATTATGATAGAGAATGATAGTGAATTAAAATGAATTTCCTGTGATTTAAATGAAAATAAGTGAAGGATTCCGTCATTTAAGATGAATGACTGTGAATGAAGGACTTCTCACTCATTTCATTTTTCACCCTATGCTTAATACATGGGCGAAGTAAGAAATGAAGTCAGATGAAGTGAAATCAAATGAGTTTGAAATCAAATGACTGCTTGTGAATGAAAATCTTCAGTCAGAAATAGAGATGACTGAACGTTGAATTAAAAAAGTTTTTTTGAACAGGTATGATAGTACATACTTTCACCCGAAATACGGATGGGACGAAGATAAATTTCCCGATTTGACCAATTTATGTATAATTTTTTTAGGCGATTTTCAAGGAGAAGCTTCATTACGAAAAGGGGATGGTCTATTCAATTAAGATTTCGATCGATCAACAAACGTTTCATGGATTGCTGCCTCCATTAAATTAAATCGCTCCAGTTTTTGAGGAAATACTTATCAAATTGTAATGTAAAAAGCAATTAATTCGTACCTGATGCGATGAGAAATTATTAATGAAATATGTTATCAACGAGTAGTATCTTATCAAAAGATGCTTGATAAGTTCGCAATATTATGACTTCTATAAATGGATAATTTTTGAATTAAATTTTCATTGAAAAATCAACCTCTTTCGTCAGAATTGCACATAAAATTTGAATTAAATTTTCATTGAAAAATCAACCTCTTTCGTCAGAATTGCACATAAAATTCACAATAATTTAGTTTATTTTTGGACGAATTTTCCTAAAATTTTAGTTTCACAGGGGTAATTTTGATTCACACTGATTTGCTTATCTTCTTATCTTATCGGATAAAAGTGTTCATGTAAAAGCAATTGTTCATGTACTGCTTCGTCCCGAAAGTGGCGACCTCGTTGGTCCGCCCGGTACTGTGGAACGTGAAGCCGGGAACGTATCCCGCATAGGTCGCCGACATGGGTTCACAGCAGCGATAAATATTCGAATCCGGTTCTGGTCGGCTGTTAAGGACAAGGGAGAAGAATTAATTAGTTAAGTTTTATAAGTTGTTGGGCACACTGAAAATGGAGGTCTCGCAGCGTATTGTGTCCGATTTTGAGGAAAATTAGGGTCAATCGCTCGCAAATTTAAGGAGGATGAAATTTGCGAAAGACGCGATCTCCCAATGGGAATGTTGGGCAGAGATGTTTGCATCCGAAGAGGAGAAAAGGCGCGGTAAATTTGGAAAAGGGTTAAATATGTAGTCTTTGGGGCCTGTTTTCTCCTCTTCGGATGCAAATATCTCAGCCAAGCGTGCCCATTGAAAGATCAGATCCTTTGCAAACTTAATATTGCATAAATTTGTGGTAGATTGACACTATTTTAACCAAAATCGGGTAGCATACGTTAGTTTGGGAGAGATATTTGCATCCGAAGAGGAGAAAACGAGTCTTAAAGTCGACAAATTGTACACCTTGCAAATTAACTGCGCATTTTCTCCTCTTGGGATGCAAATATCTCTGCCAAACGTGCCCATTGGGAGATTTTGTCTTTCGCAAATTTCGTCCTACCTAAATCTGTCATTGATTGACACTAATTTGCTCAAAATCGTATCGCATACGCTGCGAGACCTCCATTGTTATTAGTAAATTAGTAGATATTTACCAAGGGCACGCGTAGGGGCCTCTGTTGAGATGATGCGCTCTTGGATCACCGCATTGCTGCAGACATTGTGGAACGTTATCCGGTTGGCAGGCCTTCTTCCGGTCACGGGGCGGCGGTTGGGGACAAAATGCGGGGTCGCAGCATCCAATATCTTCACAACCGACGGGATTTCGCCAACAGTCATTTTTCGGGGGACATTTTACCATCGGTGGGGCCAAGATGGGGATGGGGGCCTGAGGATAATAACGATGATAACACCTTATCTTATCAAGATTAAAGAGGAGATAGATAATCAAACCTGAGAAACGCAGGGGTCCTCAATAATCTCACGGGACGCGTTGCCAAAAGATTTCCCATTCCGTTGTCGAAGAGTTGGCATATGTCCGGCGTATCTTAAATTAAGATTTGCATAATTTAATTAGGTTATCCAGCTTAGCTTATCGAAATATGTATGCTTATCCTTCTCTTACCCAGGAATGTGGTGTGGCTGCGCGATATAACCAGGTTCAGGGCAGGGACAGCAATACATTTTAAATTTTGATTAATTTGGACTAATTAAAGTTACTTTTTATACAGAAAATTTAAAATTGTGCGTGAAAAGTGTGTCGGGTCGGGTCGGGTCCAGATTTTTTAGAATTTTATGCAATTTTGTTTTCTCTCTCAAATTTTGACTTGAAAGCAAAAATTATGATAGCAAACTTTTAGGCGCCAGGGAAACGACAACCTTTCACATTTTCATATTTCTCAGGGGAAAGATAAGTGGTGGTGGTGGTGGTTATCATCGATCCATTTTTGGTTGGCATTTTCTCACGATGAAGATAAGTGGTGGTGGTGGTTTTGTGGTTATCATCAAATTCATTTTTGGTTGGCATTTTCTTACGGGAAAGATGAGTCGTGGTGGTGGTTATCGAGTGGTGGTGGTTATCATCGATCCATTTTTGGTTGGCATTTTCTTACGGTAAAGATAAGTCGTGGTGGTGGTGGTTATCGATCCATTTTTCCGTCTGCATTTTCATACAACATTCGAGAAAGGAGACAAAGACATGGGGATTTCTGGATTCTGATGGTGAATCAGATGTGAATCACATCACTCCACTGCACGTCCACCTTTTTAACTATTGTTATTTTAATTACGTTTTATTTAAATATTGACACAATTAAATATTTTTTTTACTGATAAGACTAGTCTTATCAAGAATGTGGACTTTTATAGCTGTGCTTTTGAATTGTTTTTTGACCCAATGATTATCTAAACTCGTGAAACTTATATTTGAATTTTACTAATTTTGCAAATTCGACTTTTTAACGTAACGTTTTTTACAAAAATATTTATTTTGAAGCGATAATCACTTTTAGATAAGTATAATAGTAATTATTAGTATTAAGAAGAATGCTATGATAAGCTCTGGCTGGATAAGGTGAGGAAAAAATATGGCACATTCTCCGGGCTCCCTGCTTGACACGGATTCTTGGTTTCACTCTGGAATTTCGAGAGATGAAGCGGAACAAGTGCTTATCAGCGATGGTAAGTGAGTGAGAACATTAAATTATTTTCAAAAGATAAGTGGTTATCATTTTTGTAGGAGAAGAGGGTTCATTTCTCGTGAGAGAGAGCAGCTCGTCCGTCGGCGACTATGCCGTCTCCGTCTTATCGGCCGGGGTGGTTCATCACGTCCAGATTCAGAGGCATGAAGGGGACGCGTTCTTCTCGATTGGTCAGTGTCTTTAGGGATGATAAGTTATCATTGATAAGGTAGCAATGATGGATAAGATTTACTTATTTTCGTAAATTATGTAGCTGGAGGACCAATTATTCACGGGTTGGATGAGCTTATCAAATATTACCAGTCCCCCTCGTCTCTCGGAGATGATGATATCCTCCTGCAAAAAGCAATCATCAAGTCGCCACCCCCACCGGATGGGAGGCGTCACGGCAGAACGAATTTGCTGCATCGGGCCACCAAAGAAGGTACACGGTTAAAAATTTTCAGTAATAACTTCTTACCGGATTGGTAGTAGCCTGGTAAATTTTTCATTATCAAAACATTACTAAACGGTCGGTAATGCCCGTTATTACCGTGCCGGTAGAGTCATAAGTGAATGTTTTCCGGTCGGTAATGATTTAATACCAGTTTTCTAAGAGTGATAATTCTGCTTTTAAGAGGAAATTGTCAATTTAATTAATGTTTTATTGAAAAATTACTTAATTACGTAAATATTTGTGGCAGGATCGGGTGAAATTGTGTCCGGCATGGTGCGAACGGGTCACCGATGTATCGATGCTAAAAATGAGGACGGTCAAACTGCCGCCCACATCGCCGCGATGCTCGGACTAAATCCAATTTTGACCATTTTAATAAATGCTGGAATAAATGTGAACGCCAAAGATTCCGCGAGCTGCACCCCACTCCATGTGAGTCGTCGTAAATTAACAGATTTATTTTATGCTAATTAATAATGGAGGTCTCCTTAAGTATGCTCTCAGATTTTGAGCAAATTAGTGTCAATCGGTCACAAATTTAATTAGGATGAAATTTGCGAAAGACACGATCTCTCAGTGGGCACGTTTGGCAGAGATATTTGCATCCGAAGAGGAGAAAACACGCAGTAAATTTGGAAAGTGTACACGTCTGTCCCCACCTTGGATGCTAATATCCTAACTAAAATTCCTTGCCAAATTAAAACTTCTCCAAAGATTTTACCCAACGAATCTTGAATGAATTTAATTTAATGACAAACACACACTTAATAATATTGACGTTGAAGCATTTCAATAGCAAAACTATATGATTAAGATAGTGGTTAAGTCGACAAAATTTAGGCTTTCCTAATTTACTGCGCGTTTTCTCCTCTTCGGATGCAAATATCTCTGCCAAACGTGCCCATTGGCAGTTCGCGTCTTTCGCAAATTTCATCCTAATTAAATTTGTGATAGATCGACGCTAATTTGCTTAAAAATAAACAGCATCCGCTACGAGACCTCTATTGTAAGATGACACATACGTGCTTATCAATTTCCTCCTTATTTTTAGTACGCTTGCATCAACAATTTACCAGACACTGTCCGAATCTTGTTGCAAGATGGGAACGCCAATCCGCAAATTCGAAGAAATGACAATGGTACGATATGATTATTAAGATGGATGTATTCTGGCTCCCTAAGTTAACAGTTATTATAATTGTTGTTATTATTTAAATTAATGAGAATCTTAATATCTGAATTCATTTATCATTCATTCATCAATTAATCAGGTTGGGTGCCCATGCACGAAGCCGCTTTTCGTGGTCACCTCATGTGCGTCGCAATCTTGCGGGAATACTATGCTCCTCTCAGACCTCGCACGCTGGATCATAAGCTTCCCATCCATCTCGCAATTGAGGAGAATAAAGTGGAAACCATTCAATTTTTCGGTATTTTTATAAAACGAAATCGATAAATTGGTCGTACAATTAAAAAAAACTAATTGCTAATTGTAGACACTGTGAAATCGAGGAAGGCTATCAGCAACCGGGACGATTGGTACCACGGTCGACTGGGGAGGCAGGAAGCGCTCAAAAGTTTACAGCTTTGTCAACACGCCTCACCCGAGCATGACCCTTCCACGTCGTACTTTCTGATTCGGAGGCACTCGCTTAAAAATGATGTCTACGTGTTGACCCTACTTTTTCAAGGGCACACTTACAATTTCGAGATTGGTCGTGAGGTGGGAATTTAATATAATCGATTGTTTATTAACGTGGGACCGGATGACTCATTGTTAAAATCAGCAAATTTTTAATCATTTCTCGGCTCTGGGAGCTTATTTTAAGTTTCTGGACGATAAATTTGTAGTCGGTGAGGTGATTGATGGAATGACGCCGAGTTTTTTTAGCCAGTTTCGTTAAGTCCCAATGTTTCTGAAGGCTTATTAAGCTTGAGATCTCCTCCTTCAAAAAGTGTGAAAATCTGGAGTGTATATTTTCAAAAAACTCGGAACCACCTGCTCTACAAATTAGTCTTCCAGAATTTTAAACTAAATTCTCAGAGTCAATAATGATTACAAATCTGTTATTTTTGACGATTGTGGCGACGAGTTGCGTTAATTCGTAGTTTTTTCGGATTTCTGATTATCTGATTTTACAGGCTAATTTCTTCTTTATTGACGACGGGCCATATCTGGATTCTTTAGAGCACGTCGTGGATCATTACACTCGTTGGCAGGATGGGCTCCCCAGCTCCCTGCATAATCCGGTCGGACCTACGCAAACATTTTCACAACCTCCGGCACCATCGAGAAGCAATTCGACCACGGATGTGCTCCAACTTCCTCCCCCTCTGCCACGAAGGACAGCAATGTCCTGCTCGCCAAACACGCTCCATAGACTCTGCCATGATTTAGAGAACAATAATTTGGAGAGAGAACGAGAACAACAGCAACGGAGTTTGCCACCGTTTAGTCGGGGTGCGTATTTTTCAAGGATGGTCAAAATACTGCGTTAAAATATATAGTATTTTGAGCTTCATTCTTCCAAGGGCTTAAATTTTCGGGGATGACACACCCACATTTACGTGGAGAAGCCAACAGTCGTACGAAAATACAGGTTTTGTGAAGAATTCAAATTTTTATCGCCGAAAAAATACTTGTTTTTTAAATCGAAACAATGTATTTTGACCGCGATAAAGAGTTAATTTCTTCACAAAACCTGTATTTTCGCATAACTGCTGTATTTTCCAGATTCTCATCTTTTTGTGGGTGTAACAGCCCCGGAAATCCAAACCATGGGAAGAACGGAGCTCGAAATACTGTATTTTGATAAAGAATTTTGAAACCCTATTCATATTTTTAAGGAATTTTGAAAAATAAATACAATAATGAATTGTTCATTTTATAGAACGTATCCCACACGAACTCGTCGAACTGGGCGAGTCTCTCGGAGGTGGCGAGTATGGTGAAGTTTTTGAGGGAAAGTTGACCATGGGAAATAGCGGAACTGTAATCGACGTGGCTGTAAAAACTTTAAAGAATGACGAAGGACAAATGAACGAGTGGACGATGAAAGAGTTCCTTCGCGAGGCTAAAGTCATGATGGTAAAGTTATTTAACCTGATACACACATAGGCGACTTCTGGGATTTACCGTGATTTCTTTGTTTAACAATGACAGGAGCTGGAACATGAGCATATCGTGAAAATTATTGGAATTACATGCGAACCAAAAATATTCATGGTAAGATAAATTATCAAGTAAAACTATTAAATAGTAAAAACAAAATAGGGTCAAAATTCCATAATTAATATAATTTTGTGCTTAGGTGCAAGAGCTTCTCGCACTCGGATCACTGCAAGCATTTCTACTCGATCATCCCGACCAAGTCATGCCAGACAGAGACCTTCGCAAGTGGGCTCATGAAATTGCGAAAGGTTCGCTTTCTTTCAATAACAAAGAGAAATTTCAGTAATTTTACAAAATTCCCTTCTCTATTTAGGAATGGTTTATCTGCAACGGAAAAGATTCGTGCATCGTGACTTGGCCGCAAGAAATATTCTCTTGTCGAAGGACCGAGTCGCAAAAATTAGTGATTTCGGTCTCTCGAGGTAGTAATAAAAAAGTGGCAAATCTGCAAAAAAAACTCGATATGGATGAGAAAATAATACAGCTTTATGTTCGTCACAGAGCTTTAGGAGGAAACAGTGACTACTACACGGCCACGCATGGGGGCAGGTGGCCGATAAAATGGTATGCCCCGGAATCCTGCAGGTTTGTGAAGAATACGTTAAGAAAATAGTGCAATTATTAACATAGGACCACGCTATATGACTCAGTACCAAAAATTTTGGTCCAAAATGTCAAAATCAGCATATTTAATTTGTAACCATTTCTCGGATATGGGAATTTATTTTAAAATTCTGGATGACAAATTTTTAGTCGGTGAGTTTATTAATTAAATGGCGGTGAGTTTTTTGAACCAGTTTCGATGAGCTCCAATGTTTCTGAAGGTTTCTTAACCTTAAGATCAAGGGTGTTCGCTGCTATGTTTCTCCGTTGCGAAACGCAGCCAAGTTGCCGTACCGGAACTATGAACTTGAACCCTTGCCGGGCCAAAATTCATGATTTAGGCTGTAGGCACCTGTCTCTGGCTTAATTGACAATCCTTAATAAAATAATACAATTTTGTAGTGTTTCAAAAGTATAAACTTCGAATTTAAGAACAATTTTTTTAATTCGAAAAAAATATTTGTGTTTTAAAATAGCAGTTAGTGTTTAAAAATATGTTTTAAACACTCCTCCTTCAAAAAGTGTTAAAATCTGGTGTGTATATATTTTTTTAATTGGGAACTCCCTGCTCTACAAATTATCGTCTAGAATTTTAAAATAAGTTCCGAGAGTCGAAAAATGATTAAACATGTGCTGATTTTGATCGATTTTAGTGATGGGTCATAACCTGTTGATTTTTTAAATTTGTGTTTAATGTTTTTCGGGAATTTTATGGAATTGTTGCAGTGGGACGCCAATTATAATGAAATTTAGAGTAGAGATAATATTTAACTAATATAGATGGAATAACAGGAATACAAAACCTACTTTTGTAAGTTTGTGAATACTTTTGTACCAAAAGTTGAACAACCACCTCAACAAATTTGTCGTCCTGAATTTGAAAATATATTCCCAGGGCACAGAAATGACTAAAAATGTGCTGATTTAATTTTGGTGATGAGTAATCGAGTCCTATGTTAAAGTAAATTGTATTTATAATGATTAACACCAACATTTAATACGTACGAAAAACTTTGAATTTCAGTCATGGAACCTTCTCCCACGCGAGTGACGTCTGGTCTTTCGCCGTCACACTTTGGGAATTATACAGCTTTGGTGAAACTCCTTTTGGGCAGGAAACCACGGGAAGAGAGGTACATACATAAAATCCTAAATGTCTTAATTTAGATACGTACAATTCATAATATTTCCCTCTTTTTTTGTTTCATAGGTTATCGAAATGGTCGAGCGTGGAGAACGCCTCGACAAGCCGAAACACTGTCCCGACAAGATTTACTCCGTTATGAAAAAATGCTGGAACATGGATCCCGATCTGCGACCAACGTTCACCTTTTTGGAAAACTTTTTCGCCAACCCGATCCTCGCTGCGATGGTGCCCTCCTCCACAGAGAGTTCTACTACACCGGAACAGCCTTCCTCGTCACAACAACACGTCCACGATGACAACTTGATGATTGATCTGAACGATAATAATGATGGTGGCGGAGTCACTTATACGAATACGATTGAGCGCCCCAGACCTCGTCCCAGTGTTCCAGGAGGGACAGCGTCAACTACGCCACTAAATGATTTGAATAGATTGTCCAATTCTGTCGAAAGTGTTCAACTCATCAAATGGGATTGATTAAGAATGGAAGTTTCGCAGCGTATGTTCTAGGATTTTAAGCAAATTAGTGTCAATCAATCGCAAATTTGAGTAGGATCCAAATTTGCAAAGGACACGATCTCCCAATGGGTGCATTTGGCAGGGATATTTGCATCATCCGAAGAGGAGAAAAGGACCAGTAAATTTGGAAAGATTGACATTTTTCGACTTTAGGGAGCGTTTTCTCCTCTTCTGATGCAAATATCTCTGCCAAATGTCCCCATTGGGAGATCGTGTCTTTCGCAAATTTCACCCTAATTAAATTTGCGATCGATTGGCACTAATTTGCTAAAAATCGGAGAGCATACGCTGGGAGACATCCATTTATAACTAGTTAATCCCTTCTTCAATTAATTAATTAAGTCACAAAACAGAAGCATGCCAGGATTTGTAAAGTTTTGTGTGAGATTCAGTCATATTTTACAATTGTGACAATAATTAATACTACAAAATCGGCCATAAAAGATTCTATCTGAAATCTACAAATTTATAGAGAGCTATTTACTAAATGTTCTTTGATAAGTATGTAATCCACAAATTATAGAGAGCTGTTTACTAAATGTACGAAATGTTCCTCGATAAGTATACAATAGGCAGTTATCAAACCTGCATTTCTCAAATTTCCGTAAATTGTCATGTCTCTTGAAATAAGTACAAATTTCTGGAAACTAATCTTGAAACCATTCTTCACCGTCGTCTCAATGTTTTTCATATTTTTTCCGGAAATTTTGACTTAACTAAAGAGACATGATAATTTAGGGAAATTTTAAAAACGTAGATTTGCTAATTGCCCAATATTGCTGCGATATTTTACAATAATTGCCATTCCACAGATTCTGGTGTACATATTTATTTACATTTTAAGAACAAATCCCAAAAAATGAACAAGTGCTATATTATATTACCTATACAATATTTTGAACAAAGAAAGAAACCAATTTTCATATTTTGAAAAGTGCTAGAGAAAAGTGCTAGTTTTACTTACACGACGACAGAGATCAAAGTTTTAACAAATTTTACAACAAATATATTATGCCAAACGTAAACTAAAGATGTAGATTTTAGCTCGTATTATATTTACCTGCATGGAAAATAGAAGGTCAAAAAAATTGCAATCTTTACTTTAATACCGTCCCAATAAATCATGAAATGCTGTCCATTTTAGCTTACATTTTCATACGAATAAAAATATAAAATGTGCTTTTACGCATAAATCTCTTCTCACTCCAAATTGAATTTTTCATCTTTCTTATAAATTTGATATTCATGAAAAAATTTAAAAAGAACAACTGTCGTCTTTCATGCACAAAAATACATGAATTGTGATTCTATAAATCTTCACAAAATTGTCGAACTTCAACTCCAAATAGTAAAAGTCTGCTTTAAAGAAATTAAAATTTGATAAAAAAATCATTTATATAGTTCTAATTAAACTTTATGTAAAAATTCAAATAATTATTTTTTTAAATGAAATTTCTGAAACTTTTCAAAAACCAAATGTCGTTCTTTCATACACAAAAATACATAAATAAATGTGATTTTATAAATCTCCACAAAATTGTTTAACTTAAATCCCAAATAGTAAAATTCTGCCTCAAAATACTTAAGTTTTTCTCCCAAAAAATTAAAATTCATTCACATGTGAATCACATAGTTCTAATTAGAATATTATCTGATTCACGGAAAAATTAATTATTTTTTTGCAAAATTCATGAAATCCATGAAACTTTTCAAAAAACAAATGTCTTTTCATACAAAATACATAAATAAATAAATCTGCACAAAATTGTCCAACTTCAACTCCAAGTAGTAAAATTCTGCTTCAAAAAAATTAAAATTCAGTCACGTAATTATAATTATTCACGTTTCAAATATTTTATTTTTTTGCAAAACTCACAAAATTCATGAAATTCATGAAATTCTTCAAAAACTTCAAAAAAACGACTTTTCATATTTTTTCTCTCATTTCCTTGTCCACCTGGGAGGGCGGGTAATTTGAAAAAGCAGTGGAGTTGAGAGGAACGACGGTGGTGGTGGTGGCTGAGGTTGTTGGATTGGTGGTGGAAGAATCCACTTTTCACTCGTCTCCTTCTCGCTCAACGAACTCCACTCCTCCTCCGTCTGCTGTCTGGCCTGGCGAGAAAGCAAAACCTACAAAATATTCACAACCGACCTGACCTGACCTGACCTCAATTTGCACGAAAGGTGAGTTCCTGTGGGGGTAGTGGGTGTGGGAGGGGTGGTGGTGGTGGTGTGAAATTCCTAGTTTTTTTGAAGTTTGTGAGACCAGGGAACATTTTCCGTTCACCGTTTCGTTTTTTTTCTAATAGGATGTGAAATGAAGAAGGGTGAATGTAGTTTAATTTTGTTGGATTTTGATAATAAGTAATTAAGTGTGGGTGTGGTGGTGGTGTGAAATTTGTAGTTTTTTTTAAGTTTGTCCGAGCAGGGAACATTTTCCGTTGCTTGTGTGTGACTTGTCGTTTCTTTTTTTCTAATAGGATGTAAAAGGGTATATTATATGTGGAGGAAGTTTAATTGTTGGCATTTGATAAGTAATTAAGTGCGGGTGTGGTGGTGGTGGTGTAAAGTTCTTCGTTTTTTGAAATTCATCGGAACTTTTAGGATGTAAAAGGGAGAAGGGTGGACGTAGTTTAATTGTTGGATTTTAATAAGTAATTAAGTATGGGTGTGGTGGTGGGGAGGGTGTAAAATTCTTCATTTTTGTTCGGAATTTATCTGACCAGGGAACGTTTTCCGTTTCATTTTTTTCTAATAGGATGTAAAAGGGAGAAAATGGTGGACGTGAAGAAAGCTTAATTGTTGGATTTTGATAATTATGCTAGATTAATTAATTGAGAAGGGAAATATGTTGTGATAAAAATTGGGTCTATTTTGTTTGATGGGTCGATTTTAATTGATTTATTACTCGAGTTGAATAATCCTTTATTTATTATGCAATACAAAAAAAGTTTTGTCAATATTTATTTAAGTATTTCACTTGTTTTGACAACACGACCCATTTTACAGTAACTATTACATTATTTAAATGTTTGTGTCGAGGTGGAGGAAAAATATTTGACGGTTATTCATTTATTTGTCGATTACGAGTCACTAACGCCATCTTTTTTCATTTCAGAACCGGAAGTCTTTCTTCTTCTGATAAGCGATCGATACAATCAGATAACAACTAGTGTGTCGTCACCTTCTCCATCATCATGTCGTGTGCTACGCTAAAACGACCCTTGGATTCGGACTTGTTTTCACCAAACAGTCGCCCAGCCGCGAAACGACGCCGTCTTGCGAACGCTGCTCGTGGCTTGTTCGGAGTTGGAGGGGCTTCAAGCGCCTCAATTTGTCGGGATGGACCTCCATCTCCCTTCACCTCAGTTACGGCACGGTTAGTTTAATTGATAAATAGCAACGACAATTAACTAACAATGGAGGTCTCCCAATGTATGCTCACAGATTTTGGCAAAAAACTAGTGTCAATCGATCACAAATTTAATTAGAGTATGAAATTTGCAAATGGCACTATTTGCTACTCAATTTTAGCGGAAATATTTGCATAAAAAGAGGAGGAAACGCGGTCTAAAGTTGACAAAGTTTACGCTTTCCAATTTGTCTGCATGTTTTCTCCTCCTTTATGCAAATATCTCCGCTAAAACTGAGTGGCAGATAGTATCATTTGCAAATTTCATACTAATTATATTTGTGATCGACTGGCATTGGTTTGGTCCAAATCTGTTGGCATACATTGGGAGGCCTCCATTATGAGTATTAAAAAATTAATTACAAACCTAATCAATCAATATTAAACTATTGAATAGAATGAGCCCTGAACAGATGCAAGTGCGCCTTCGGCAAGAAATCCGACAACTTCGTCGTCTCAAACAATTGCAGGAAGACGCCACCACGCCGACCGCTTCAAACCAGAGGGCGGCTGGAAGTACGAGTTCCACTTTTGAAAACTTTGGTGAGAACATGAAATCTGGAATTGGCATGTCCAAAGATTCCGCGCTGTTTACCTTCCGTCAGGTAAGTAATCAATTAAATTCTTAATTATAAATCGAATTGGGGGTTAACTATCATTAAACACAATTTTATTTCCATCAGGTGGGACTCATCTGTGAACGAATGCTTCAGGAGAAAGAGGATGCTTTGCGGAACGAGTACGAGCAAATCTTGTCCGCCAAAATGGCTGGTAAATTTATAACCATTTCGCGTAGGACTCGGTGATTCAGCACCAAAATCAACACATTTTGAATCATTTCTCGGCTTTGGGAACTTATTTTAAAATTCTGGGCGACAAATTTCTAGTCAGTGAGTTGATTGATGAAATGGCGGTGAGGTTTTTAAGCCAGTTTCGATAAGTTCTGATTTTTCTGAAGGTTTCTTAAACTTGAGATCTCCTTCGAAAAGTTTTAAAATTTGGAATGTATATTTGTTTAAAATTGTCAACGTTCTTCTCTACAAATTTGTCGTCCAGAATTTTAAAATAAATTCCCAGAACCGAGAAATGATTAAGAATGCGCTGATTTTGGTGATTGTCATTCAGTCTTACGTTTAGTTTCATATACATTGTTAACAATAAACTTAATTTTAACTCGATCTTAACTTTCCCACAGAACAATACGACACGTTCGTCAAGTTTACCCACGATCAGATCCAGAAGCGCTTTGAGGCTGCATCCGCTCCATCTTACCTTTCTTAATGTCCGCTACTACGCTACGATTTCAATCAACGCCCAATCAAAAATTTTTTGCCACCACCGCCGCCGCTAACTAAACTAAATAACTGCACCACTTTCCAAATTACAAGAGAAAACCAATCATCATCATCATCGCAGTCAAGAAAAGAAGAAATGATAAGCATATTAATTTTTAAATCTCCAGTGTGATTGCTGTTATTGCTGCTGCTCTTTTTTGTATCATCGATCGTCCTCCTTCCTTTTCGTATCATCATCGCGACGCCTCTTTTTTTGATCAATACAATATCGTAATCAATACCAGACTGGGTAGCGGGTAGGTATTTAGTAGAACTGCAGGCGAATAACGAACTCCCTAAATTAACTCGTAGTTAAAAGTAATAATTTAAAAAATGAATAGCCTTTACTTACATGCTCAATCTGTGCACTAATAATAATGTTAATGCACACATCGCTTATACCTACATAAATTATACTATGAATTGTAACCGTGTCGTAAAAATTATGCTCGTTTTGTAGACATCAAGGTTTCCTCTGTTTTTGAGTAAATTCACGTATTACACAAGAAATTAGTGATTTGTCACCTTTAGAAAGATTAATTCCTCTAGTGCGCACTGAATATTTAGCCTAAAAGAAAACCGAGAGATTAATATGTAAAATTTTAATGTACCAATTTTACCAAATTTTTAGGTTTCTTTTTTTTAAATAAGATTTTCATTTTCAAAAAAATACCGCAACCTTATAAAAACGAAAACGACGAAAAAACTATAAAACCATTGTGTGCCATGGGCTAAGTGAATGGCTTAGTTTTCTCCAAACTTGAAAAATGATCTGCTAAACCAAAATATTTAAAAGTAAAATAACATAGACTTATCAACACTTACAACTTATCAGTTACTTACTTATCAACCGTACCGTACTATGCAAAAAGTTACATAATTACATTTAGAAAAAGAAACATAGATATATAAAAGTGATGATGATCGTGGTTTGGTTATCTTATCTAAAAAAAGAACATTTACAGCAATTTTACACTAATTCTTCTAGCCACATTTTTTCTCCAGATACGAAATGAGTTTTAAGCTAATGATGATGATAAAAGTTCACAAAGTGATATTTAATTAATTTAATTTAACTAATTTAAGTTTTAAATCCTTCCCAAGTTTTCGGAGATGTTTTTAATATTTAGAGAGCAGGCAGACAAGAAGAACTCTTCCCAAAGAAAAAGAAATCAAGACTTATCTAGCCCTAGGAATAATTAATTAATTAATTACGTAATTAATTAATTGTGTGTCAAATCAAGCGTATGTATCGCTTTTACATTTTATCGTCGCCTCATTATGATTATTTTTAATTAATTAATTAACTTATTGGATTAATTAATATTTATGGATGTACTAGTTCTTTGAAGCTTATTTAATTTGAACTTTATGCTAAAGACTGGTTATCATGTCACGTGTCACATTAACTTTTAGTTAAATTATATTGTTTCGTTTAGATAAGTGTGGTGATAAGTGTGACACTTATCTTTAGAAGAAAGACTGGTGGTGTTTTTTTGTTGATTGGGTAGTGGAACGAACGAACGAGCATGCCAATTTCTCATCGGATTGTTCGTTAATAATTGTTAACTGTTTTTCAATTTGATTTATTTACATGGCGGATTAAGAAAAATAAAGACTTTTTAAGAAATATTTCGCCGGACGGAAGGACGAACGTAAGGCAACGGAGGAGAAGATGTATTTAGCAATTAAGCCGAAAATTAGTTAAGTAATTAATTAAAAATAGTAAAAAATGTTTAAGGATATGAGATGAATGCGCGCTGTGGGTAATAATAAATAAGATGAATTTGAACGAAAAAAATACGGAAAATGTGTGATAATTTATTTGTTCATATTTAATGTGCAGAAAAATACTTAAATAATTAGTTAATTAACTATTATTTACTAATTATTTTCCTCTACAAAATTCGACACATTTTGCGCTCTGGGTAATAAATAAATAAAATAAATTTTACGAAAATCTGGTTACAGAAAGTTCGTGATTCTTGATTTTTTTCAGAAATTTGCGACATTTACATATTTAAATACTTAAATAATTAGTTAATTAACTCTTATTCATTGATTACTTTCATCAGTTTCATCTCAAAAAATTCGACACTTTGTGCGCTGTGGAGTAAGAGAAAAGTGAAATTTCAACACAAAATTTCAGAAAATGCGTTATAATTTATTTATTTATTTCATTAATTTGCGACATATTTATACAGATAAATACTTAAATAATTAGTTAATTATTAATTATGTAATCACTGGCCTCTACAAAATTCGATACATTTTTCACTCGACACGAAATTATTGGGATTTCCGTCACACCCACCGAAATGGAATTGGACGCATTCCTTAATTTCAGGGCTGTACCTCCACCTCGTCATCATGGCTCTGCAGTCACCCCTCGTTTCCGGCAAGTGGCACACCTCTTCCGGTTTCAATACTGAGGAACAAAAAATATGAAGAAAGTCAGTATTTCCGGTACAAATTTGAAAGAAATAGCGGGATTAAAGTGCTTTTTTGCAGCTATTTTGACCTGCAAGAAGTTTAGAAACGACGCCAAGCCGCTATACTTCATACCTCGCTTGGCTAAATGGTTCATATTTTTTGCATTGTCTGCGAGTTTCCTGTACCTCGAATTTCTTGCAGTTTCTTGTTTCGCAGTGCACGAAATGTAGTAAGGATTTGCAAAAAATAACGGCAATAAAGTGGATTTTTGCAGATATTTTGATCTGCAAAATAATCCAAAGCGCAAGAAACAGCTTCCCGCAGCCATACTTTATACGGCGCTTGGATAAATGGGGCATAATTTTGCAATTTCTTGCACCTCATATTTCTTGCGTTTCTTATTTTGCAGTCAAGAGATGAAAGATTTGCAAAAAATAACTGCAAGAAAGTGCTTTTTGCATATATTTTTATTTGCAAAAAATAACTGCAAGAAAGTGCTTTTTGCATATATTTTTATTTGCGAAAAATACGAAACTATACGCTCCGCCGCCATACTTTATACGGCGCTTGGCTAAATGGCCCTTGTTTCTTGCACTTTCTCCCAGTTTCTTGCACCTCGCATTTCCTGCGTTTCTTGACTTGCAGTCCAAGAAATAGCGAACTCGCAAGAAACGAAACACTGGATGAAAAAGTGTATGAAAAAGTGTCTCAGTCTAATTTTTCCCAACTTTCTTTCTCTCTTCGTCTCGACTTTCTCTGTGGGTGAAATGGAGCAGAGAAAAATCTGTTACCTCCTCGATACATAACTCGTTCTCTCTCCGTAATCTCATCCCTTGCAGTCGATTAAACACAAATCTGCTTCTGCTGCTGGCTTATTTGGCTTAACGACAGGGTCACAATTTCAAGAATTGCTCCTGCCCTGTTAGCCAGACTACTTGTACTTAATTTGCATATGCTGCTGGCTTTGGTTTAAGTAGTGTTTCGTTTCTAGCTAGTTTGCACTGCAGAGAAATAAGAAATGCAAGAAATTTTAAGTGCAAGAAACCGCAAGAAACTGTGAGAAACTACAAGAAATGAAGCCATCTAGTCACGCGCCGTATGAATGAATTATAGCGCGGGAAGTAGTTTTATGTATTTCTTTGTATTTCTTGTATGTCAAAATATGTAGCTGTTAAATACCACTTTCTTGCAGTTATTTCTTGCAAGTGGTTACTTGCTAGTGTTTCGCTTCTTTCGGGTTTGTCACATTTCTTGCACTAAAAAACAAGCAGCGTAAGAAATGCAGGGTGCAAGAAACTGTAAGAAAGTCCAAGAAAGTGCAAGCAACTGCATGAAACTGGGAGAAAGTGCAAGAAATATACGCCACACAGTCGAGCGCCGTATGAAGTCTGCGCGGCGGGGCGTGCATTTCTCCCAGGTCAAAATACACACCTGCATAAAAACCACTTTCTCCCCCTTATTTCTTGTAACTCGTTTTGTTCCATCCCGAAACCCTGGGTTCAATATGCTCAACGACAGGGTCACAATACAATTTCTAAGAATTGCTGCCCTGTTAACTTTCCCCCAAGACTAGTGACTCGTACTTAATTTGCATATTATCATAATCATCGTTATTACATTACATTAGACGTAACATTTGTCCCACCTGTTTTCTTCTCGGGCTGGTCGGCCTTTCCCCCAGCGACGACGGGTTTCTTGCCCACGTGCGCTTGTTGATTTGGATTTTCTCGATTTCCAGAAACCGACCCGACAATGACGACCGCATCGTTTCCTACTCCGGCCAAATTACAGTCGCATTTCTCACACCCGGTGATCTCGTCTTTGGAAACGCCACACTTCAAGGGACCACACCCTTCAAATTTTGGACACTGTGTTAAACAAAGAAATGATAAAATTGTTGCGTAACGGAAGAAAATGCGAAGTTGTTAAGAGGCAGAGGTGGGCAAATACAGTATTTTGAGCCCCGTTCTTCTCAGGGTTTGGATTTCCGGGGGTGTTACACCCACAAAAATGCGAAAATCTACGTCGAGAAGGCAACAGTCGTACGGAAATACGGGTTTCTTAGAAGAAATTAACTTCTTATCGCTGGAAAAATACTTTATTTTTTTGAAAATAGTGAAAACAATGCATTTTAACAGCGATAAAATTTTAAGCGGTCAAAATGCATTGTTTTCACTATTTTCAAAAAAATAAAGTACTTATTTTTCCTTACTTTCGATAAAAAGTTAATTTCCTGAAAAAACCTGTATTTTCGTACAACTGTTATATTTTCGATACATTTCAATGCATATGCATTTTGCGAAGAAATTCACTTTTTATCGGTGGCAAAATACATTAAAAAAACTATATATTTTGACCACGATAAAGAGTTAATTTCTTCAAAAAACCCGGATTTTCGCCCGACTGTTGCCTTCTCAACGTAGATTTTCGCATGTTTGTGGGTGTAACAGCCCCGGACATGCAAACCCTGGGAAGAATGGGGGTAAAAATATGGTACTTTTCTTGCTTGATAAAGTATTTTGCCCAGCTCTATTTTTATTTTAAGCCAAGATTTATGTGCATACCTCAGCTGCGATCTTCTTATTATTTCCCACGCCATACTTGGAACAATGCTTTTCACAAAATGCTTTCTCGCTGAAACGGTTCCCATTTCCGCCGCAGCCTGACCAATCAAACTTTTCGCAAGATGCCGTCGCCACGTTGTACGTCCACGACTCGATGATGGCTTTGCAGGGACCTTTCACCGGGGGGAGGGCGCAGTCCGATATGTTGAAGGGTTCCGGGGTCAAATCCACGGGGGGCGAGGTGTTGTCAGCGTCAACTATTTATGTAAAAAAAAAAATCAGTGTTTAGTTTCTGGTGGGGTTTACTACATTTTTGGGCTGGAAACCAAGAAACTGGGAGAAATGCGAGGTGCAAGAAACTGGGAGAAAGTGGGAGAAATATGTGCCATCTAGCCATGCGCTGTATGAAGTATTTATAGCGGCGAGAAGTAGTTTTTTGCACTTTGCATTTCTTGCAGATCAAAATATTCACCTGCAAGAAACCATTTTCTTGCAGTTTCTTGAGACTTAATTTGTCACGTTTCTTGCAGTCCACAACAAGCAATGCAAGAAATTCAAGGTGCAAGAAACTGCAAGAAAGTGCTAGTTTTTTTTGCGCCATGCATTTCTTGCATGTCAAAATAACTGCAAGAAACCAGTTTCTTGCGGGTGTGCTACATTTCTTGCACTGTAAAACAAGCAACGCAAGAAATGTGAGGTGCAAGAAATACGAGGTGCAAGAAACTGGGAGAAACTGTACGAAATATGCCCCATCCAGCCACAGCTGCGAGATTTAGTTTCTTGCACCTTGCTGCAAGGTGCAAGAAACTAAATCCATGCAAAATGCAAGGTCCTTGCATTTCTCCCAGGTCAAAATATTCCCCTGCAAGAAACCACTTTCTCCCCCTTATTTCTTGCACCTCGAAAAAAAAGAATATTATTTCATATTTCATATTTCGTTTTGTTTTCGCCAAATTTATGAAATGATTTATGAAACTGTATTTATTTTCCTTCATTTCTATTCTCTGGCCGGGACGATGTCAAGCAAGTTGTGTATACATTTTATTTTGGGACCAGCCCAGAATCACAATTGGAATGAAATGAAGTGGAAGATGGAAGGCATCAAATGCAGTCCGGCCGAGCACAACGAAACCACTTTTATTCTCATTGTTTCCAGAAAACAAAGGAAGAAAATCAGAAATAAATGAGATGAGAGGATTCATCTGGTTGGGAAATAAATGGGACAAATATTTTTGGGGACAAATATTTGTGGATAAATTCCAACCCGGCCGTGAATCCAGTAAAATAATGGATTTTAGAGGGTGTCAAATTAATGGGGAAATCAGAACAGAATTCGATTAATCAAATATTTCTGATGTTGTAAAAATTTCAAAAATTTCCAAGAATTTGTGTTCCTTGCTAATCAAAATTTGAAGTTAACTTGGACATAAAATTATTTAGATGTAGATTAGGTTCAAATTAGTAGGAAAATTGCCCCAGAATTCAATAAAGCATGAGATCATTATTTCTGAAGATGTGAAAATTTCAATGTTTCCGAGAATTTATATTCCTTACTAATCAAACAAAATTCCAACTCATTTTGCACATAAAATCATAGATTCTGTTCAAATTAATAGGAAAATAAGCCCAGAATTAAATAAAATAAATATTTCTGGGGTATGAAAATTTCCAAAATTTCATAATTCCTTACTAATAAAAATTCGTAATCAATTTGTACACAATAAAATAATTGATTCAGTTATCGGACGTGATATGACGTGAATTAGCCCAGAATTCAATTCAATAAATCATGACAAAACAAATGTACATATTTCTGAGATATGAAAATTTCCTAAATTTCCTAAAAAACTTTTCTAAATTTCCTAAAATTTCCCTCAAAATTACATAATTTCCTTACTTATCACAGCATCATCCTCATCATCAAACGATGCAGATGCAGACGGAGGCATCAGCACTTTCACCGTGGTAGATTCCACCCCTTTTTGTGGTTGTGGCATTGCCTCCGTCACTTCCAGAAGGACCACCAAGACAAAAAACGGAGCCAAATACTTTCCCAACATTTCCCCAAAAAACCAGAAACTTTCCTTCACAAGATAAAAAAATTCTCCCGAAAACAATTCCAATCAGTCGGAAAACTCGGAACTAATTAATTATTTAATAACTAATTGATATGATTTACACACACAGCGTTCACGATCACTTTCAGTCTCATTTTGTCAGAATGGATGCCAACCTGCCTGCTTTTTATACCTTTCTAAGGCCACCAGCAAATAAGTCTCGCACGTTGTGACGTGACTATTCTGAATACAAAATTACTAACTTTTTGCTTGCATGTACATACATACATATGCAAATATTATGTATGTTGCGTACGTACCCACAAAGGTAACTTATTTATACAGCAGTTAGTTATTAGTTAGTTAACTAACCAACAAAGAGAAGAGAGTGAAGGTAACACAACAACCAGACTAAAATAGCAGGATCATCATCAACTACATTTAATTTACATGCAATCCAATCCACCCACAAGTTTTGCATGCATGGAAAAAAATAGGACACAAAAGACCTCATAGATTTGCTCTCTTCCTACTATTTTCATCATTCAGAACAACAATGATTCGATTGCATTTCCATCCATTGTTGATTGTTTATCCGGACAAATTCTGGCATCACGTCATGATTGCTCTCATTTTGAAATGTATGCATGCAGTGCGTCAGGATACAGTTTCAATTCCAGGCATGACAAAGAACACGCATGCAAATATGTAAAACTAATAAAAGGGATGCTTTTTTACTGTCGTCGTTGTTGTTCTTATTTTCATGCATGCATTTTTAGTCGACATTGACCAAAAATCTGTCCCTTGTCGGAAAAAAATGTGACAATATTTCGTTTCTTGCTCCAATCTATAGATTTGTACTATGGAATTACTTAATTAGCGACTAATAATAATTTTTGCATGCAGAATTGAATGTGTGCAAATTATATATTTTTCAGGCGATGATCGATCTGGTTTGTTGTGTGGCAATATTAACAGTAGGAATTAAAAATTACGGCGTGTTAGTGTGCAAAAATTATGATTAATTCCAACTTGCAAAAAATTTGATTTCCAACTTGCAAAAAAATATGATTATTTCCAACTTGTAAGCATAAAATTATGATTTCCAACTTAAAAATATGATGATGATTTTCAACCTACAAAAAATATGATCATTTATTTCCAACTTGCAAAATTCTAACAGGATTATCTCCTCTCATAAATAAAATGAGGAGAAGGTTACTAACTACACAATTTACACACACATATATGCAAATAATTTGCAAAAGTGCATGCATCATCATTATGCAAGAAAGAAGATGCCTCTGAAAAGCTTTTCGCCTCCGTTGGTGAGATTATTACATCACAAAGTTAAGTTTGTATATGACTGCAAGGTGAAGATGCGACCTTTCCCTTTTCCCACAAATATGGTACCATGCACAATTACTTATTCGCACCCACCACCCACGCTTAATGGCTAGTTAACTAATTGTAAGTATAGTTAGCTAATTTAACTACCCTTCGACAAGGATTATGTATTCGTGTACCCAAAATTTTTCCATCGTGGCGAAAATTTGCACATGTATAAATATCTCACAGCGAAGGAATTATCAATGTTTTCCAAAATTCCCGAAGGTGAATCCATTCCGGACTTCCCAGAAAAACTGGGACAATTAAAGCTTCTAATTTTCAAGGTTATCTTATTTATATGCATTTTTAACACGCATCTTTTTATTCAAAATTCATGCTATTTTACATATATTTCGAATGCTTATTTATTTATCTATGTATATTTCATACCCCTTAAACTTGTCACCGGAAGTGGGACTTTCATCCATGAATGATTAATTGGACATGCACAAATCCTACAAGCTGACCCCGACTGTCATTCTGGACTTTGCAGACAAAATTGAGACAAGTAAAGCTTCAAATTTTCAGGGTCGTCTTATTTTATTTACATGCAGTTTTCTTGATGTGTAGCACATTTCCTAGGAAAAATTCATCCTGCTCTATTTAGTTTTTGGTTGCATTATGCAATTTGCATATCCCTTAAACTTGAGACCGGAAATGGGCCTTCCATGAAGGAATAATTGGACACAAATCCTATTATAAGCTGACCCCGAGCTTGTATTTGTATGTATCTAATTGCGTGTGTGTATGGTTTTACCAAAATTCTGTTCAGGGCTATTTACACATTTATTTTTAGTTCCGGTCCATGCGTGATTTGGGCATTCATTCATTCATGCTCATTTTGTACACATATTTATACAAATAAAACGTAAGTTTAGGAAGATCTACATATACGTTGGTCATCATCGTCCAAAGTGGTATATTTTTAAACCCATGATACGCACACATCAAAAATTGTGTGGTAATTAAATGTGTACGAACAAAAATCATTGTCATCTCGTCACCTTTTTGCATAATGGTTCCATTGGTTATCTCATCTCGCCAAACCAAAATTTCACAAATAAATCAAGGATTCTGTGATCCTTCTCGTATTTATTTTATTCATTTCAAGTTCAGAGATCAAGTTCATTGTGTACCCAAAAAAATGGGCATAATTAAATTAAGTAAAGTTTGTTTTATTTTTAAGCTATTATTCAAATTACGTTGGATGTATGTTACCTACATTAAATATGTATTAATTACTGAATTAATTCGAGCTGGCCAGAATGCTATTATGAATCTTTGAAAATAGATTTTAATTAAGTGTTCATTAAATTAATTAATTAATTGATTCATTAATTTCTCATAAAATCTAGCTAACCATAATTTTCTCGTAATTTTGCAAATTTGGATGAGTCTTATCATGAGAGGATAAAATTGTTTACAATAATTTGTATCTTTCCAAGCAGTAATATTTCCAAAATTTGTAAAATTATAAAAATAATTATTACCCAAAATAACGACTGAATTACTGAGACGCCGTTCAATATAATATTGAATGGAAAAATAACTTTATTAAAATATAGATGAGGTGGTCCTTCCCGTTTTTGATTGAATAACTGTATTCTTAAGAAAGTGAATCTAATTAATTGATTAAGTAATTGAGTAATTAATTAGCATATTTTTTTCAAAGAAATTCTGGCCAGGTCGAAATATTAAATTAATTCAAGATTATTATTTAATGGTACAAATTCCCGAAAAATTACGCCTCCTCATTAATTTAATGGTTTGAATATGCTACTAATTAAAAAAACATATTAATTAATTGTCTTAATTAACTTATTAATTAACTAATCCTAAGTTTCGGCAACTAGAGGGATTAAAACTTCATTAATCTAAGTACATAGCATTAAAAGTTCATTAATCTACATAGAAAGATCGCTTCTGTAAATTTTATTATTGACGGCGTCCCACTCCTTCAAATTACATAAAATGTTAACAAAATAATTAAACTATATAGTGCACAAAATTTTATCTGTAAAAACTGAAAATTTCCAAATTGTTGTTACGATTAATAATTAATTATTTTAGCGAAACGCATGCCAGTGTAAAATTTCATGGAGAGGTAACATTGTTGAAATCAAGATGACGAGATCTGGAATTTAATAGAAAACTTTATTTCTGGTGAGAAGGCTGAATTTAATCAATTAATTAGTTATTATATAATTGAACAATTAATTAGTTCCTTTTTGTCAAAAATTGATAATATTCTGGCCGGTTTGAAATATGGAAGTAATTCAGTATTATATATTTAATGGTACAAATTCCCGGGGCATTAACTCAATGGATTGAATATTATGAATTTTTGACAAAAAGTATACTAATTAATTTGCTCAATTAAACGAATAATTAATTAACTAAATCCGGCAAGAATCATGTTAATTATCCGATTGCAGAGAATTTGATTCTGATCTTCAATGCAGATAGTATTTACACAATGTAGATTCTACATTGTGTAAATTAAATACTATCTGTCCTCTAAAGTTTACTATAAATAGTTGGCTTATCACTGCAACAAACGGCATCAAATAAAAAAATGAGTCTTTTTTCAAAGCAAAGAAAATGAAGCAAAGAAAATTATTTCAAAATAAAGAAAATGACTAAATGTGAATGAAAATCTTCTGTGAGAATTCGGAATGACTGAACATTTTGAATGAAAAAAATAATATTTTGCACAGATATGGGTATGTATGATTTTAAGGTCGAGGTATTTACTAAAACAACAGCATAAATAATTAAAGTATTGATTTATTTTGAGCAAAAAATGCATTGCAAAAACCGTTAACGGTTAAGAAGGGGTCGAATTTTGTTGCCGTTTGGCTTTGAAGACCACATGGCGAAACAGGAGGGCGTGAATTCGTTGCACACCATTGGAATAAGGACCTCTTCCAGGAGACTTGACCCGACCCGTTGGAGTACTTTCTCCTCGATTTGATACACTTTTTTGACCAGTGGGATATCCGTGAAGGTCGAGAGTTGGTCCAGATTGACTTCTTCGCCCAGAATTTGTTCCCCGACCTTGGCCCAGAGCGCTTTTTCTCCCATGATGAAAACGTCCGTGTCGCCGTCTTGCGCGCTGAAGTGGTTGAGCGGTTCTGAAATCTGGGGGATTAATTAATTGGTCAGTTAGTTAATGAACTGGCCCTGGGTGTAGTTTTATTTGAGGCAGTGGCGCAACTATATTTTGGGGGCCCTTCGACAAATAGCAAAAAAGGTTGGGTAAAAAATATTCCCTACGGTTGGATTTTAGCCTTTCTTCGGATCAGTTTTCTATCCGCAAAATTCGAAAAGATTTTTCTTACGTAAACGTTTTAAAAAAAATCTGGCACAATGTTTCAAATTGTGCATATAGAAAATATTTGGCCATAAAACCAACAAAGTTTACAATTCTAAATTAAATTCCTTAATTGATCACAAAGTTTTTTAACTTACAAAATAACTTTCGAAAATGTGTAGCAACCCTCGGGCCCCCGATGTCAAGGGGCCCCTCGTTTTTGCCTACGTGCTATTTTCGCCACTGTTTTACGGAAAACTTACGTCTTTTGAGGGTTTAAGACAATAAATGATTTCCGTGGGGAAGGATCCTGTCTTCATTTTGTTTCTTTTCATATTGCAAAGAGCCCTAGTCACGGCGATGGAGACTTGGAATTGGTCGACGATCTGAGATATCCGTGTGATGATAAGTGAGTGAGTAAGATAAGATAAGGTATTTATTTATCTATTTACTTACCAATTTTGGATTCAACAGAACAAACGGTAATTTTGCGGAGAAGATGAGTTCCCTAACTTGCGCTGTGTTGGTCACGTTTCGATACAGTTTTTTGACCAGGTTGCGCTCATCCTTCCACACACGGCTAGTTTGGAAATCCATCGCGAGAGAGAAATTTCGAAATCTTAAGCGAATTTTTAGGATTTTGGAAAATGAGGAACCGCCTGCAAAACTGTTCAATGTTAGGACTTATAGATTTCGAAAAGGGCGCTATTTGCGGACCCGGCTACAGTATATATGTTAAACCACAGTTTATTCCTATTTTAACGTGAAACTTATTTAATTTGCTTAACTCGAAACATGAAATTGTGTCAAAATAAAATTTACATTATCATGGTGCAAATATTAAATTGTATTATGAACGGCGTCATACGAATTAATAAAAATCTAAAATAAAAGTACGAAATGAGGACACATTAAAAAAAACAATGTTTCCAATTTGCAAAATTATCGCGATTGAGCTGTTTTAGTTGAACGCCGTCCAGTGTAAAATTTCGTGGAGAGGTTAAATTGTTGAAGTTAACATAATGAGATCTGAAAATAGATAAGCTTGTTTCTAGTGGTCTCAACGGTTCGGTTCGGTTCGGTTCGGTTCTTGGAAGAACCGGTTTAGAACCGAGAACCGGAATTGAAGAACCGAAACAGAACCGAACTTTTTTTAACTGGAACCGAACCGGAACCGGCCAGAACCGTGATCCAACCGGCGGTTCGGATCAAACCGGTAGTGTTATCAATGTGCAATAAACATGCAATAAACAACAAACAATTCTAATTGACGTTTTTTTGATGAAATTTCACATACAAGTCAGTAACTTATCTATATTTAAACAAGCAAATTCTAATGCATGTCAACGGCAAATCCAGTTATTGAAGTTAGAAAACAATTCCAAGTTTGGGATGTAACCACGTCAAAATTCCATTTTGGGAACTTTGGGGGTGTAACGAAGTAAAAATTTCATTTTGGGAACTTTGAGGTGTAACCAAGTAAAAATTCCATTTTGGAAACGTTGGGGGTGTAACCAGGCCAAAATTCTATTTTGGAAATGTTGGGGGTGTAACCAGGCCAGGATTCCATTTTGGAAACTTTGGGGGTGTGACCAAGTCAAAATTCCATTTTGGAAACTTTTGGGGGGTGTAACCACGTCAAAATTCCATTCTGAAAACTTTGGGGGTGTAAACAAGTCAAAATTCCATTCTGGAAACGGTGGGGGTGTGACCAAGTCAAAAATTCATTTAGGAAACGTTGGGGGTGTCATCAAGTTAAAATTACATTTTGGAAACGTTGGGGGTGTAACTAATACAAAATTTCACTTGGGAAACTTTGAGGGTGCAGCCAAGTCAAAATTTCATTTTGGAAACTTTAGGGGTGAAAAGTTTCATTTGGAAACTAGAAGGTGTAGTTCGGGAAATTCGGAAAAGTTTCGCTAATTGATTTATGTATGGGGTTCGGTTCACCCCGAACCGGCCGGTTCGGTTCGGTTCTCAAAGACTTGGAACCGGAACCGAACCGGTAATAAAAGTTTCGGTTCGGTTCGGTTCTCAGTATAAACCGGAACCGAACCGTAGCCATCGGTTCCGGTTCGGTTCTATGAGAGCCGATAACCGTTGAGACCACTACTTGTTTCTGGTGAGAAAGCTGAGTTTAATCAATTAATTAATTATGCAATTGAACAATTAATCAGTATTTTTTTCAAAAATTCATAATATTTATTCATAATGTTCCGGGTCGAAATATGAAATTGATTCAGAATTAACTTAATAGTAATCGAAAAATTTCCACTCTTAATTAATTTAATGGATTGAATTGGTTATGAATTTAAAAAATTATACCAATTGATTTGCCCAATTAAATAATTACTTAACTAATTAAACTTGAAAACAATTCAGGACGTTATCTACGTTTTCTACGTATTACCTCTCCGTACGGCATCACACTAAAACAATTCAATTCTAATTTTGCAAATTGAAAATGTTATTATTTTTTTGGAAGGATACAAATTTTTGTACACAATTTTATTGTTTTAACCCAATTTGCAAAAGTACGATTTACATAATTCTATAGTAGGGCACCGTTCAGTGCGTAAAAGGTTAGTGGTGAGCTAATATTATTTAAATTAAGGTCATTAGTGAGACAGCTGAAGTTAAGTAATTAATTATTTCATTAATTGTTATTAATTGGTAATTAATTTCATAGTAATTTCATAAATTAATAGTACAGATTGGTAATTTCATAGTACAGATTTCTTAAAAATGTATACTCCTCATTAGTCCTCATTAATTTAATAGAAAGGGTGGAGAATTTTAAGGAAAAAAATTTACCAATTAATTTGCTCAATTAAATAATTAATCTTTTAAAATTGGCAATATTAATTATTCGATTAAAAATAGAAGTCAGTCTCAGTCAGTGTGTGCAAAAAGGCAGCCTTTTTGCTTTTTCTGCATGCCTTTTTGCCTTTTTGCCTTTTTCAATGCCCTTTTGCCTTTTTGCGTGCCTTTTTGTCGTTTTGATGCCTTTTTGCCTGTTAGATGCCTTTTTGCTAGATTTTAGACGATTAAACCCGATTTATTGTCGTTTATAACGTATTAAAGAAATTGCAGAATCTGCAATATGTTTTGAAAATTGTATTGGAGGGTTCTGACTTTCATCAATACTTCAAATTAGTTGAACACTTTTCCCCAAATATCTTCCGCGTTGTTTCTACATCGCCATCAGCTTAATTAATCAAATTTTGACACTAGAGCTCATATTTGCGAAAAGTATTAAAAACGCAATGAATAACTTTCACTTTAATTTTATCACGGGACTCTCGTCTCATCTCGCCCCAAATTAGCAAAAGGGCAAAAAGGCACAGATTTTGGTGGGGCAAAAAGGCAAAGAGGCAGGCAAAAAGGCACTGCCTGCCTTTTCGCTCTGCACACACTGGTCTCAGTATGCCAATAATCTACATTGGGCAAATGATACCTCTCCTCTAAATTTTATTAGGAACAGCGTCATACTAAATACATTTTTTCTTTTAATATGTAAATTGTGCTGTGAGGATATAATAGGAAAAGTGAAAGGATAAGGGCTCACTTGTAGTATTTGGAGGGGTCCGGATTAGGCCTTTTTTGTCAACGTTTCGACCTCAAATTAATTTTTTACCCACAAACCACCATGTGAAGCAATCCTCTTCGTCGTCCTGAAGAAGACCCTTTGAGGTCGAAACGTTGACAAAAAAGACATTTTTTCTTTTACTTAATTTTAAGTTAAACGTATTATTTCAGTACGTAATCTTTCGAAATATAGTAAATATGTAAATATACTAAGAATGGAGGTCTCCCATTGTTTGCTCTCCGATTCTGAGCAAATTCGTGTCAATCGATCACAAGTTTAAGCAGGATGAAATTTGTAAAATTTGTAAAATTTGAAATTGTTTTGTTCAGATTTTATAAATTTGTTGCAGTGGGACGCCGTTCATAATTAAATTTAGAGAAGAGGCGATCCGTAAACAACAAACATGACATCAGTGCATTTTCCCCATCTAATGGCAAAGTTGACATGATTCTTGCCGAATTTAATTAATCATTTAATTGAGTAGATTAAATAGTACTTCAAAAATTCATAATTTTAAATTAATATGGATTGGAAATTTTATGTATGTGTGTATTTTATGTAAATGCATAGTCCGGCCTATTAACGTGTAATAAATTTAAATTATTTATAAACCATATTTTGTCTGCTTGATCTTGAAATATATGCATTATTTAATTAGCTCATCTTTCGAGATGTGTAATTATATTTCATTTTTATTATTACACTAATAATGGAGGTGTCCCAGTGTATGCTCTCCGATTTTGAGCAAATTGGTGTAAATCGATGACAAGTTTAATGAGGATAAAATTTGCGAAAGACACGATCTCCCAATGGGCACGTTTGGCATAGATATTTGCATCCGAAGAGGAGAAAACGCGCATAAATTCGGAAAGTGTACAATTTGTCGACCTTACGGCGTTTTTTCCTCTTGGGATGCAAATATCTCTGCCAAACGTGCCCATTGGGAGATCGCGTCTTTCTCAAATTTCATCCTAATTAAATTTGTCATCGATTGACACGAGTTTGCTCAAAATCGGAGAACATACGTTGGGAGCCCTCCATTCTTAGTTTTAGGAACAATTTAATTATTTTATATCGATTTTATGCAATTTGTGACGCCGCTGATAATAATGTGTAACGGAAAGGTAATTATTAACACGTAGATTCGTTGCAACCCTGGCAGAAGGTAATAAAACTAATAAATATGGGAGGAATAGCTGACCTAATTATTGCTGAATTTCAGTAATTAATTATTTAATCGAGCAATTAATTAGTATCAGTTTGTGCAAAGATTAATTCATAATATTGTGGCTGAGTCGAAAGAACAAATTAATTCAAAATTTTCGAAGGAATTGAGACAATTATGCCTGAACACCGTCTAATTAGGATTTTATCTATATTATGTAAGTCTTACCCTCCATTAAATTTTATTATGAATGGCGTCCCACTCCAACAAATTTGATAAAATTTTAACAAAATAATTAAATTATATAGTGCAAAAAATTGTATCTGTAAAAAAATGGGATATTTACAAATTATTTTTACGATTAAATTGTTTTAGTGTAAAATTTCGTGGAGAGGTAACATTGTTGAAATCAAGATGACGAGATCTGGAATGCAATAGATAACTTTATTTCTGGTGAGAAAGCTGAATTTAATCTATTAATTAATTATGCAATTAAATAGTACAATTTTTTCAAAGATTCATAATATTCTGGCCGGTTTGAAATATGAAATTAGGTAATTCAATATTGATGGATTGAATATTATGAATTTTTGACAAAAAGTATTCTAATTAATTTGTTCAATTAAAGGAATAATTAATTAACTAAATTCGGCAAGAATCGTGTTTATTATCAGAGAAATTTGCAGAGAAACCGAAATTAACAAATTCAGAAATTTTAAAAATAGTTAGCCTGATTCCTGACTAATTAATTTTAACCAATGAGTTGCGCAATTGAGCAGGAAATCAATATTTATTATATGGCAAAACACCTAAAAAGTGTTGATCATCGTGCAGTTAGTAGCTTTGGGTAGTGAAAAAGTGTTTTCAAATTACAAATTTGAAAACTTGATTTTGAATTTAATTTAATTAATTTAAATTAATTTAATTAATTTAAATTAATTTAATTAATTTAAATTAATTGAGCAAGTAT